AAGTATACACTGTAAAAAAATCGTAGGATACTGAACCCTAGTACTAAAAAAAAGGTTTCATAAATCCTTAAAGAGTTTATGTTTTTGTCCGAAACTCTAAAACCGTTTATTGCTTGAAGTGTTTATGAAACTAAGGGTATTTGAAAATAAAAAGGATCTGTTGCACCAAAATTTAAGGGGAAGGGTTTGTGAATTTACGATGAAGGGTTTATTATTCTACAGTGAAGGGTTTTTATTATACTCTTGCATTCAAGGGTTTCTTATTGTACGGCGAAGGATTTATTATTGCACCCTTCCATGAAATACTTTTTGCACTAAAAAAATTCAAATTGGACACGTTAACATATGTATATATCAAAATGATTTTGGTTTTTCTGGTTGATGACACTTATTCATCAAGCATTTTTGTGATTAGGTAGGAAAACGTACACAAGAAACGCAGATTAATGAAAAACACACTGCATAACTTTAGCTCTCTCTATGTTGCAATAGCCTGTAATCTCACATTAAAAGATTATCATTCTCCATTAGTTAGATCAACCTGAAAAATAAAATGAAACTTTGTTTTATGCAGATGAGACTTCTATAAAAAGAAACGTAAGTATTTATTCATAAATCTTGAAGAATTTCATCAGTAAGCTAAAACGTTGTATTTTAATTATTTTTTTATGCTTTTAGTTCTATTTGGAACTGAAAATCATAAGTAAGTATACTTTTTCATTAAACAATTGTTATTTTTATTCGTTTAGTGAAAAACTGAATTCAAAATCTAATTTAAGTATCACTTTTCTTTCAATAATTCTTATTTTTATTATTTTAGTTCACAATTCGAGATCGTAATCGCAATAATAAGTATAATTTTTTATTAAAGAATTCTTATTTTTATTTTTTTAGTGAAAAAGCAGATTCAAAATCAAAGGTAATTATTATTTTTAAAAAATCATGTTTTTTACTTTTCTAAAATTGATTTGCTTCAATGGCTCGTTGAAATTGAACATGATTTTTGACTAAAAATAAGTTTCCCTAAACCTGTTAGAAGGATATTTGGAAGGGCTTATTAAAGTGCAACGTATCACAAACCCTTAAAGGGTTTATTGATTTCATAAACCCTCTACTAGACCCTTTGGAGGGGCTTGGGAATGTTTCATGTGCGGTAAAAAGGGTTTGTGGTACGGTTGCACTTTAATAAACCATTTTAGGGCTTATTGGTCTACTTTTTTTTTTACAGTGTACATTAGTATATATTATTTATATACTTGTTCAGAATATTGTTAGCTGCTAATGAATCTATTGCATTCATTTATCATTGACCGTCGTATATCCTGACCCACAATAGTCTCGCAGTATCCGTCACACTGTAAAAAAAGAAGGTAGACTAATAAACCCTTTAAGGGTTTATGAATAGCTATCGATAGGGCAAGCGTTTATTGGTCTACGCTTTTTTTTACAGTGCAGTATCTACCAACGTCTATAAAACACTATCAGAGTCTACCACTGCCTACCATAAGTTATAAGTATCTAAAAAAAGAATCTATCAGAATGCATTATACCCACATGCAGTGTGTGATTATAAATTTCGTTTCGTTTCATCCGCATCGCGTGCGTAACGATATTTTTCGTTTTTTTAAATACGTTTCGAGAATCTCCGAGGCTTTGCTAAACCTTGATAACCCAGGTTGATCATCCTGAGTCGTAAACGAAGTGTTACGATGAAATACGGTAGTCGTAAATGAGGATCGTGAAAAATCTCCGTAAACGACTGTCGGGTATCACAGTAAACGGTCGGAACCGATGACCGTAAATGATTCAGGAAACCGTTGCAGTTTTTCTATTGTATACTTTCGCAAACGATCGTTTACGATGACTAGCTGTTTGCTTAAAGTATAGTAGCATTTTTTAGATTATAGTTTACACAAGCTATCTCAGTGCAAAGTATTAAGTGACCATCGTGTAGGAGAATTTAGCATCGTATTTGAGTAAAGCCTGTCGATACTCATCTGAGCTGATTTTCCAACGTCTATAGTCATATTCTTAGTAGAACTTCGTATACCCTATCGAGTAGTATATTTCGATTAACGAGATCTCGAACCATACTCAGGAAATTTTGAAAAATCCAAAAACTCCTGGTATCCTTTTTTTGTAAAATGCGGTCATATTCAGTTCGACCAATGTTCCACTCTCGTACCGATGGTGCAAACGGAACTTGACGAACTCTATTCAGTGGAATCCACATAATCTCCGCAGCTTGAAATCAGACTTCAGCGCTGATAGAATAATGCCAAAGAAACCTAAAAAATCCTACTATGAGCTATCAAAAAAATCTGCGGACATCATTAAATTGATCTCCTAGATTTGTGTTTATATCATGAGTGGAATGCTTATAGCAAGGCCTTTAACGAATATGGGCAACTTTTAATCGAATACGGTGCTAGAATTTCATAGAAAGATACAGTATTTTGAGATTTTGGGACCATTATCAGGGAGACGAACAATCTGATTTTACAATTCGATGAAATATGTTGAGATCTGTTTGATACACGAGTGTGAGAGTTGAAATATTTCTTGGCATGAATATTGGCAGATTCAACAAAAGGAATTCCAGGATTTCTTTGCATTTTTCGAAATTGTAGGAGAACGCTTCGAGATCTAGTTAATTCAAATTACCATTTGATAGAACATATGAAATTTCACTAGGAACATGCGCATGCCCGTTGGAACATCAACTCACAAGAGTATCGACAGGTTTTACTCGAATACGATACTAATTTTACTTACGTGTGAAAATCACGATTTTACTCCATCAAAAGTAGCGCAATCTTTCTACCACGGAAAACATTAATGCAAATCGTATTTTTGATCTAAAACACAGAGTTAATGACCAGAAGAAGTTTTCCTGGATATATATGAATATCACAAGAATAGACATTTATAATACAAACAAAAATCCTAAATCACAATGTGAACTAGAAAATGCTGTCGATGAAGTTTTAAATGGTTTATCATTGTGTTATTCAAGCATATATTAAAAAGACTCAAAAAGTATATAAAAAGTCTGTATCTTCATATTAGATTTCTATTTGTATTATAAATGATTATTCTTGTAATATTCATATATATCCAAAAAAACTTCTTCTGACCATTAACTCTTTGTTTTAGATCAAAAATACGATTTGCATTAATTTCTTCCGTGGTAGTTATATTCCTTCAAGAAGTATCGGTTTTCAAAACATAATCGAGTTGGTATGAATTTTTAACACACAACTATGAGAAATCCAGTTTTAAATTAGAAATCAACACAATAATTTCCAAGAAGAGAAAATTGAATAGATTTTAATGAAAGAAAAATCCTATTAGAAGGATTCAAACCTTAAAAATTCGAAGAATCTGGCTAAATCTGCCATCGGAAGTTTAATTAGTTTTTATTATCAACTTTATTATCCATCACATAGAAATACTATAATTTTCATCGCTTTTTAAGCTCGCAAAATCATTTAAGTAATATTTTTTTATAAGTTTTAAACATGGGGAATATATGGATAGAACATCAAAATAAACCGTAACGCATCCACAGTTCTCTATTACGCAGAAAACTCCGAAATCCAGCGGTGAGTTTCTGAACTACCCAGGCACATTCTCATAAATCACCCCATAAATCGCACACTATAAAGCAGAAACGTGCACAGGACAGGATGAGATTTAGATTCTGTCCTATCCTGCCGCCAGCTAGGACCAAGGCAGTCAACAGAACAGGCAAGGACAGGAGAAAAAAATGATGTCCTGTGCACGTCTCTGCTATAGAGCTTACCTGCGGATATGATTCATTCCAGCTTATATGGCAGAGATGTTCCTCAGTCAATCTATCATGAAGGCTCTCATAACCTACACAAGCCTGTTATTTCAGGCGTATCCCCTGCTTGAAATTCAAATAGTTAATATGAAAAAAATCATCGAAACTCCAAGAAATACTCCCTGAACTGACAAATCTTTTGCAATGATGCAGCGCAAGAGTACTGCAAACTCTGACTAGTATAATGAACAACGATTAAGATTGATCTCTGCCAACACAATAATACTCATATTTATTCACAAGTCAAAAATCTATACTAAATAATAATCTGGTACCTCCTTCATTATTTGCTTGATTTCTGGTGGTAATTTTTGGTTGTCATTTCTGACGCATTCCCAGGATTCTTCGCATGCTTTTATTATCTATCGAAAAGAAGCAGCATAGATCCTCTGTTTTCATCCTTAACAGAGCATCTGCAACAAAGTCTATTATTTACGACTCACTTTCACTGAAAAAATCCAAAAGCAGGATTTCTGCATCTTAAAAGTTATCGCAAGTATGTATGCATTTGAGGGTGTTGATAAATCGAATACCTTAACAGCACCGTACAACAACAGTGGGTACAAAAGCGGGTGTGTTACCGTCAGTAGATGACACTGGCTGACGCTCAGCGCTCCTTCGTGTTATCGGTTGCTATGATCTCTATTTTGATTTGTAACGTAATCTTTCTACTATGACTAATATCTCGTGATGGATTTTCGTTCGATATTACGTAGTTGTTGATTTTTCTTGATTCCGGTTATTATCAGAGTTATTATTTCTTATTATCATCTTCTACATTAATATATTCTTCCCTGATGGTTATTGTTATACTTCTTCATTAGAAAATATAATATATTAAAACATATTATTCTATTAAATTTATAACTATGTTACGACAACAAAGTACGGCAGCCAGTCTATGTACCCTCTCTAACTGTTTAGTAGACTAACTATTAGTTCTACTATTATACATTCCCCTAACGAGAGCATTGACAGGGTGTCACTCCTTAAATCCTTTTTTCTTATCTTGCGCTTCTATCCAAGACATTTGTTGACTTTCCAAATTTTTTCCGTTTCATGAAAACGCAAAACGGGTTTCCTTAATCGATTAACAACTGAGTCAAACCATACTTACTGCTTTACTTAACAGTTGCAAAATTTTCAGATTAACATGTCGACAACAACAGACACCAATCAACAAATCATTGTTGTTGTTGTAGCTGGAGGTGGCCCAGTTGGTCTAACATTTGCGCTTAATTTAACAATGATGATGGGCAAAAATGCTAAGATCATTATTTATGAGGGACGATGGTTCGTTGATGGTCAAGGTGAGATGCGTTGGCAAGACGAAAAACAAGGAAAAACACGTCGTGATCAAGTNTTTTCAGATTAACATGTCGACAACAACAGACACCAATCAACAAATCATTGTTGTTGTTGTAGCTGGAGGTGGCCCAGTTGGTCTAACATTTGCGCTTAATTTAACAATGATGATGGGCAAAAATGCTAAGATCATTATTTATGAGGGACGATGGTTCGTTGATGGTCAAGGTGAGATGCGTTGGCAAGACGAAAAACAAGGAAAAACACGTCGTGATCAAGTTGTAACATTACAAGATCATGTCATAGAACAAATGCCTGATTATATTAAACAAGGTCTTTTTCGAAACATAGAAGAACGTGTTTGGCCAACATCAAGAAATATTCCAATTCGAGAAGTTGAAGATCGTCTCTTTGATCTTCTAAAACCATTTGTGCACAATGGTCAAATTGAACTTGTTCCAGAAAATTTAAATGAACAATCCGAATGTCTCATTAAAGGTTCTTTCTTTTTCTTCAACTAAATCTAGCTTTTATTTTGCTGTTTCTCTACTTTTAATTTCTAGGTAATTTCGACATTTTAGTTGGTGCAGATGGTGCGAATTCTTTTGTACGTCGTTATTGTAATATTCAAATGATAAGTGAAGGTCTTGAATATGCATGTGGCGTAGCGTATAATATTCCAAATGATGTTCCGTCATCAGAAGCACCACTTCATCAAGCAATGAATTGTGTTTTAACTGTTAGTCAAACTCGTTATTTGGTTAATTCATCTACAAGTCGACACGGCTATTTGAACATTCGTCTTACACACGATGAAATGGATGAATTACGAAATCGATTACAAACGTTTCAATCAAACAATGAGCCGATAAATTTATTAGATTATAACAAATGTCCACAATCACCTGTGTGGACAATTATTCGACAAGGTTTAGACTTTTTTAGAATATCTCCAAAATATGTTTTTCGTGTCATACCAATTGAAATTAATGTTCGTCATGCATCGATTGTTGTTCGTGAACTTCGCTTCGAAATAGATAAAAGTGAACGAAAACCAAGACAAAATGATGAGAAAAAGTACAAAACTGCACTAGCATTTCTTGCTGGCGATGCAGCAATGTGTGTTCATTTCTGGCCTGGTCGAGGAATGAACAGTGGAATGAAAGCTGCGATGGCTTTAGCGCGTAACATTGTTCGTACATGCACATCGAAAAACTCAATTAACATACGCAAACCATTACGATTCTTGGATTTTCTCGATTATGAAGGCTTTATGGCTCGACTTCGAGCGCGTGAACAGCAAGGTCGTTCGTTACGTGTATTAGTTAATCCTATTGACAAGTCTGTTGAAGAATCGTATTCCTATGCTCATCTAGAGCAGTGCTATAAAAAATATACGAAGAAGCTGATTAGAAAATTAACAGAAACTCGAGACCGTCTTCAAAAACTGGATGGATGGCCACATCTTTCAAATCCTATCTCAGATGAGCAATTACAGTACGCTTCGAATCGTATAGCTCCGCAGGCTGTTGCTCAATTGTCATTAGCAAATCCATGGCCTACAAGAGAGATGAGTGGAGCGGATGTACTTGTTGAAAATACATTCCCATATGATTTAAGAAACGCTTTCCCTGTTCCAGTAACAGCTTCTTTGAATCTAAAGCGGGCTCCGTCACTCCTGATCCGTTACAAGTATCATGTATTATGGGTCACTGGTGATAAGCAAAATGAGGGGGTTGATATTCTTATCAAAGATATTCAAAATTTACAAAATACGTCAAAAACATTCGGTACTACACACTCGAATGATGCCCTAACTGTTCTGAAAACTGTTGAAGAAGTCGAACAATGGGTTACAAAAAATCAAGCAATGATTAGCCAGTCGAATATTATATTCAAAGTTGTAACACTATGGACAATAGGAGCTGACAAAACGGCGATTGATGTTATTCGAGCTGTTCGTGCTAAATTATCAAGAGCGCCTGTGCTGATTTTTACAAATAAAATCGAAGAAATTCAAGCAGCTGTTGAATTTCCCAATGTTGTTGTGACAGATGCAGAAGTAGAGGTAAAAGAATTTGTTGGAGCTAGACAAGAAACACTGTGGAATACTGGTTATCGCGTATCATATATGCAAGACACAGTACAAGGCGCCGTATATCACACTCCGAAGTTAGAAAAAGTATCAACTACTGAAAGTAAGTAATGGGGAACTCAATATGAGACTCGATATAGTATGTTGCTCTTTTCTACGTTTTCAGTCTCCATGTGGCATAATCCACTTTATTTTTTAGTCGGAACTTTCTTTGAGATAGTGTGAATCACCTATCGATTTTTATAATTACAACTTTCAAGAGAATCCAGAATAATATCTGTCATAAAATGTTTGGCGTTATTTCCGCTACGATGAGAATCAGCAAAAGTCAAGCTATACTAGTATAGGAATGCCTCTTTAAGTATCACGGAATCAATTGGCATGCAGTATAGGGTATACTTGCGGTAGTCAGTCTAATTTTTTGTCTTCATTCACACTCGTGAATTCTATTAATATTATAACAAGCTATGCTAGATTCACAGTATATTCATTACATTCAATGCGCCATCAAAGATTTATGAGAAATAACATGAGTGCGCAGTAAAGTTATATTCTACTTGTTTGCATTTTTATTACCCTTTGACCTTCCTAGGTCCTATAGGGACACCATTAATAACAGTTTTCTTTCGTTTACAAACTTTAGAAAGGAAAAGCGATGAGGATAATACAATGAGACAGTAAAAAGAAAAGAAAAAAAACAAAGAGAAAAGAGAGAAGAAAAAAAGATGACGCCATCAAAGATAAAAGAAAAAGTGAAATAAACATAAAAATAAGAATAAGTACCGAGGAAATACATGACTAATGTGATTAAGCACCAAATACAATAATATCATGATAGAATAGGTGAAAAGAGGGTAGCCTCAAGTTATCACACATCCACATCTGCTATTTCATATATTTCTCTGCAAAATACGGCAAGCTGTAAATAAGGAGAGAGAGAAGACAGAATACATTACATACGGTTAGAACATTTCTGGGAAATGAATAAAATTATGTATATCATTGCGGTCAATAGCCGGAATAGATGAGATCATATTATGTTTAGAGCACCAGTTCAAACATATGGCCCATATACTGTTACGATCAATAAGTCTCCTATTTTTTCGCAGTGACATTATTTCAATATGACCGCTTAACCAGCTTTGCCGGTGAGCGCATAGTTCAATTTTTTCCAGTAATAATTGTCCATCTTCAGACTTACCTAGTGCTGCAAGGTATTTTTCCCAGTACTTAAAGCATCTGACATCCAATGAACATTCATTGTATAATATACTAAAAATAAAATCTTCCCACTGAAGACAACGGTATACTCTTTTCAGACATGTAAAATACACTTCTGATAGTAAAAAAATGATTTGCCTATGTTGTGGAACTCAGATATATTTTTGAAGAAAATAGTGGAGGTAAGTTTTAAGGTGAGATTTTCTCGGGTTCCCATCCATCTGCCGAGTACAGACATGAGACATAGATAATTAAATTCTGTCTTCATCTATTAGGGATCAGTGTACTTAGTGTTTTTAGTGTCTCTTGACCATTACACAAATTATTAGTTAAGATATAACTTCACTTATGAGAAATCACTCTAGTTTGGAATGTGTATTTCTCATCACCATCAAAGATCTTAGTAAGTAGGCTACATCAGCATTGCAAACATAGGCAAAAATATAATGCTCTAATTACAAATCTTATAAATAAAGCGAATTTTAGGAAAGATGTTCACGTAACCTATTTCTGGATCAGCATAATGAATCTAAAGCACAAGGTAACGCAACGTTAGAGTCGCCAATCCTCTACTGAAAGGATTTAGCCATGTAGAACGTAGATATCCAAAACTATCTAGCTGAGAGACTTCACATTTTATAGCTTCGAAATGGTTTTCATGGAAAACACGATTGATAACCGAGCACAAATAGAAAACGTGCTGGGAAGTATCACCAAGAAAACGACATTTGAGTAGTACTTACTAATACTATATGGGAATACTGAAGTTAAGTGCATCCGATGTGCTATAACTCAAGCTATGCTCCGAAAACTTTCAATCAGTTTGATAACGGAGTGAAGAAAAAAACCCATTCAAGAAAGCTGCGGTCGAAATACCCCATTTTAGTAAAGTTACAACTCAAATTGGTCTATGAACTAGATATTTAACATGAATCTGCACGAGTGGATCATAGATTAAATCAAACTGACTATTTCTAACTCGATTTCGGTTAGATTCGTCCTAATTTTTACTCAACCTCATGTGGGTTCATTTTATTTCGGTGCGTTTTCCATCTAGAATGCATATATTCATTCCCGGATGCACATTCACAGATAGATAAATCTAAGATTTACATCTTTGAATAAAATCCACTCGCAATCAGGAAAAACTAAACTTGTGTTGTTTCAACTTTTCTGATCGAGATAACGTGTAACTATTCTATAAGTCTGCAAGGCCTGTAGTCTTATAATCACAACAGATTTTTAACGGAGCAGCGAGTCGTTCATCGGTGCCCATCTCGGGCGCCACTCACAACTAGCCGTCTCCACTAGTTTTGTCTCACATATGCGGTGAACGTGATCCTTTTAAACATGACATGATTGATAGAAAGCTTCGCCTTATTCTCTAATTATTAGATGGGAAAAAAGAGTACTTTCAAAAAACTCGACAACAACAATTGTGGGACTAATTTAATCTAGTTTCATCTACATATGCGATAAATTCCTCATAATTTAGAGAAGAATGAGACAAGATTCCCGAGTACTTATCCAGTTCGCGGCCGTTCGTAGATGCCCTAATCTAGAATTCTAGGAGTTAAGTTTGAATAAATTCTTCGTGGTACAATAAAAGTTGACATACCAAGAATAAACTGAAGACTTTGAAAAAATCTTTCAACGTCTTAGTGCAGGTGAGCGGCTAGTCGCTGCCAAATTGTGAATCAATTCCACCGCAAGATGCCTATAGCCTATGCGTAATAAGATCTCACATAACCATACGATACATATAACACTATAAACATCATCGAATGGTACCCTCAAAAAGATTTCCCCTACAAAGAATTCCTATCACGAAAATGCAACGACCTAAACTGTTCCTAATCGATTATAAACTTGCTTGAACTACAAAATTTCAAAAAACCGACAACGCCATCGTGTTCCCCGACCCGGATTACTTTTTCTGAAACCTATCTCTACAGATATTGCTTGAGTTTAGTTAAGTTTATGCATTTGCTTTCCTATTGGGCGAACGAACGCATTTAAATCGTTTTTCGTAATACCCTCCTTTCAGTAGAGGGAATTTTTTGAGTTCCACATTTTAGCCGCAAAGGGGTTATGCTGATAAGCTTTTTAGTTATATTTAATTTCATTCTTGCAGCACTTTTTAAGGGATATGCTTTTTTTATTTCATATTTCAGTCAAAAAACAATCATTGGCATCTGCTGAGTTGCCATATCCATTGACAAGCTCTAGTCAGCCAAGTATGCCAGCCGTGCCTAATGCCAGTTTTTTTCAGTTTCCTTTACCATCATCACCACCAAAATTATTTAGTTCATCTTATCTGGATATGAACCGTTTTTCTATATCAAAGCCGATGTTACTCTGGATCGATTCATCCGATAATGATCGAAAACTCAAGAAAGAAATTGAAAAGAATCATCCTACACTCGAAATTAAATTCAAACCAACATACAAAGAAGCAGAAGAATATTTAACTGCTAACTTACGTGACATACAAGGACGAGATAGAGTTATCACTGTATGTCGAGGCTTTTATTCAACAGAGGAAAAAAGCTATACGGATATTGCTCAACTGTTTGATACTCTTGATCTTGGAGAATTACCTATGGCAGTTTATACAAGAAGTGTAACAATGCTATTGGAAAGAACACCAAATCATCCAAAAAGAGTAGAAATCTTTGATAAACAAAGTGCTTTGCTTGCTTTCATTAATCGGTACTTATAAACTCTATTTTAATATCATTTATAAAGAAATAATTAATGATGAGTTGATCTCGATTGACAACACATCTGGCTTGTTTTGCTTTTCAAAACCTATTTTTGTTGTGTCTAATTTTGATATTTGATTATTCATACGTATATAACAGTATATCCCAGAAGATTTTTAGTTGTAATGTTTCAATGCTGTTGATGTTCGTGCTACAATGAGCTAAATTAGAACCGAAACAATAAATGACATTATATATACATACTCACGATGGACACATAAATAGAATGACGTTTTAAAGTGTTTCCAAAGTAATAAGAATAAACATTTTATTTCATTTTATTCCTATTGTTGGCTAAGAAGGATAAAAGAGGATCTATTGAAACTTAAAATGATCTATTGAAGATGAATTTCATCAGCCATTTTTATGAAACAAAAGCCTTACTCATGCTAATTGCTGATCAAAACGTCAAATTATATCATGATATGTAGATTCTAGTTATTCATGACAGGTAAAGTCGGAACAGGAGATTGGTCGTACTGCTTGAAAATACATCAGAATTCCTATATTGAATTTAGATCAATTTGTACAGCAATAATATGACTAACAGCAACACATATTTGTATTGGCATTAATGATATCGAACTTTATATAAATATAAACATCAAATCGAATATAAAAAAATCGTCAAGACCAAGACTTGCATAATAATTTTGCGGGTGTGGGTGTGTAGACGCATATGTCCGCCTTGCCTCACATCTACACTCACACCCTCAAGCACGATAAAGAAATAAACTAACAATGTACAGTAGTGAGATGAAAGAAAACAGAAGAACGAAAGTAATACATATATAACGATAAGACAATATTTTTGTCGAAAAATAAATTTGTTATTGGACCAAAAAACAAAAACATGCAGAACTTATGCCCCAACCGGATAGATACTGCAAGAGCGATAGATTGATGTAATGGACATCAAATATCGACGATAGTACTAGCACTACTTGTAGAATTTATACCTGGTTAATCTTTTTCAGCTACAGTCATTACATTACGTGCATATATAGAAAAGCGAAAACATCTTAACTATGAGAAAATAAAAATCTTTTTCCTGTGTAATTACTTTTCATCAATTTCAATTGAAAATTTTTGATAATATAAAATGGATTTTTCCAGGTAAATCTACGTACAAGATGTTAACCTTGTTTTGCTTACGAAAAAACATAATAGCTTCGTTCTTCAACGATAGTAGTAATATATTCGTTATTCATACTGTTATAAAACCACCCACACCCATCTATGCGAATATATAATCGCTAGGTATTACAACAAGATAGGAAACTTGCTAACTTCAGCATAATAAATATATCAACAAATATTGCCTGGACACTATCGACGCCTAGAGTGTTACGCATGCTTGGTTCACAAATATAAATATACTACTCTGTTTATCTCACCTTTTTTGTTATTTTTTCACTCTCTATAGCTTTCATTTTATTTTTCGTTTATTTTTTTTCGCACGACACGAGAGCATTTTCTTTCGATAGGTATACTCCGATTGATACCAAATTATATGCTTTTCTTAAAAATATAAACTTTTCAGATTAACATGTCGACAACAACAGACACCAATCAACAAATCATTGTTGTTGTTGTAGCTGGAGGTGGCCCAGTTGGTCTAACATTTGCGCTTAATTTAACAATGATGATGGGCAAAAATGCTAAGATCATTATTTATGAGGGACGATGGTTCGTTGATGGTCAAGGTGAGATGCGTTGGCAAGACGAAAAACAAGGAAAAACACGTCGTGATCAAGTTGTAACATTACAAGATCATGTCATAGAACAAATGCCTGATTATATTAAACAAGGTCTTTTTCGAAACATAGAAGAACGTGTTTGGCCAACATCAAGAAATATTCCAATTCGAGAAGTTGAAGATCGTCTCTTTGATCTTCTAAAACCATTTGTGCACAATGGTCAAATTGAACTTGTTCCAGAAAATTTAAATGAACAATCCGAATGTCTCATTAAAGGTTCTTTCTTTTTCTTCAACTAAATCTAGCTTTTATTTTGCTGTTTCTCTACTTTTAATTTCTAGGTAATTTCGACATTTTAGTTGGTGCAGATGGTGCGAATTCTTTTGTACGTCGTTATTGTAATATTCAAATGATAAGTGAAGGTCTTGAATATGCATGTGGCGTAGCGTATAATATTCCAAATGATGTTCCGTCATCAGAAGCACCACTTCATCAAGCAATGAATTGTGTTTTAACTGTTAGTCAAACTCGTTATTTGGTTAATTCATCTACAAGTCGACACGGCTATTTGAACATTCGTCTTACACACGATGAAATGGATGAATTACGAAATCGATTACAAACGTTTCAATCAAACAATGAGCCGATAAATTTATTAGATTATAACAAATGTCCACAATCACCTGTGTGGACAATTATTCGACAAGGTTTAGACTTTTTTAGAATATCTCCAAAATATGTTTTTCGTGTCATACCAATTGAAATTAATGTTCGTCATGCATCGATTGTTGTTCGTGAACTTCGCTTCGAAATAGATAAAAGTGAACGAAAACCAAGACAAAATGATGAGAAAAAGTACAAAACTGCACTAGCATTTCTTGCTGGCGATGCAGCAATGTGTGTTCATTTCTGGCCTGGTCGAGGAATGAACAGTGGAATGAAAGCTGCGATGGCTTTAGCGCGTAACATTGTTCGTACATGCACATCGAAAAACTCAATTAACATACGCAAACCATTACGATTCTTGGATTTTCTCGATTATGAAGGCTTTATGGCTCGACTTCGAGCGCGTGAACAGCAAGGTCGTTCGTTACGTGTATTAGTTAATCCTATTGACAAGTCTGTTGAAGAATCGTATTCGTATGGTCATTCGTATCAGTGTTATGAGAAATATACGAAGAAGTTGATTAGAAAGTTGAAAGAAACTCGAGACCGTCTTGAAGAACGTCCTGAATGGCCACATCATGCGAGTCCAATCTCAGATGACAAATTAAGCAATACATTACAATGTATATCCCATCTGGCTGTTGCTCAGCTATCATTAGCAAATCCATGGCCAACAAGAGCAATGAGTGGGGTGGAAGTATTATGCGAAGATATTTACCCTTACGATTTAAAAAACGTTTTCCCCGTACCAGCAGCTCCCTCGGCAAATGTAAGATGTGCTCCATCGGCTCCGATCCTTGATAAATATCATGTGTTATGGATAATAGGCGAGAAAAAAAATGAAAGTTTTAATAATCTTATTAGTGATGTTCGAAATTTGCAGAATGCTCCCAAATCATGCACAGATACAGACTCTGATCATATTCTGACTGTTCTGAAAACCGTCGAAGAAACCGAAGAATGGGTTCAAAGAAATAGATTATTGATTAGTCAGCCAGATGTTAGATTTAAAGTTGTAACAGTATGGGAAATAGGAGCTGACAAAACGGCAATTGATATCATTCGTGCTGTTCGTTCTACACTATCACGAGCACCTGTGCTGATTTTTACGAATAAATTCCAAGAAGTTCAAGCAGCCCTTCAATATCCGAATGTGATTTCAACTGATGCTGAACTCGAAGTAAAAGAATTTGTTGGATTTAGACAGGAAACACTTTGGAATGCTGGTTATCCCGTACGTAATGAAAGTAAGTAAAAGAACGGTTGTTTACTAAGATTTGTAACCGAACTCTGAGAATAATACCAAAAATAGACATCGTATTGTTGACAATTTTATAGGCTAGTCACCAATCTGCTTAATATTTATCTGATTGAAATTAGCATTTTCCTCTTTAATTCCAACGTGATCAAATCATTTTGATAACAGAAATACGCATTGATTTATGCGTTTCCCCTTATACTTCATTCTATTCTTGTAACACGTTTTTGAAAGGCATCCTTTTTTTTTACTTCATATTTCAGGCCATGAAAAAACAATAGTATCTTCAGCGTTGCCATACCCTACAAGCAACTCTAATCGATCATTGCTTCCAGCCCTACCAACTTCGATCAGTTTTTTTCAATTATCTTCATCGTCATCAAGGCCAATGCCATCGAATTCTACATTAAAACCGATGATACTTTGGATCGATTCACCTTATAATGATCTAGAACTGACGAAGAGAATTCAAGAACGCCATCAAACAGTTAAAATCAACTTCCAAACAACATACAAAGAAGCAGAAGAATATTTAACTGTTAACCTACGTCAAATACGAAGACTACCCGCATTTATCACTATATGTCGAGGTTTTTATAGAAAAGACGAAAAAAACTATACGGATATTGCTCATCTATTTGATATACTTAATCTTGAAGAATTACCTCTGGCAGTTTATACAAGTAGTGTAATCAATTTATTAGGAAAAATAAACAATCCTCCAGAACGAGTCAAAATTTTTGATCAGCCAAGTGCTTTGTTTGGTTTCATTAATGATTGTTTACAAAATAAATGTTAATACCATTTGCCAAAAGATTAATTAAGAAACAATAAATGATCCTTATCGATTCACATCATATTTGATTTTGATAATTTTTCAAAATATATTTTTGTTGTGTACGATTTTTATATTTGATTATTACACATATATTCGACTATCAAAGAAAATGTTTAATTCTTATGTTTCAGCGCAGTCCATATTCGTGCCTAATTAAAGTTTAATTTCAACGGAAAAATCAACGGAATCAAACAATGATTGTTTTGTATTTGTAACAATGAAGACGCTTAAGTATATCTTACCACGGATACATTTGGACATTCTTTGTGACTATTGTACTTAGTACAGTAATATATATATATTAACTAAGAACATAGCAAGATACAAAATTTGCCTTGAACCTTTAAAATACTGAGTCCGAATACTTCCCGAAGAACCGTTTTCAATTCAACAGAACATAGACAGTATATCGAAGTAATGAAATTCAAGGCTTCTTCTTTACTATTTTGATCTCACTATCCCGTACCCGTATCAGAGAGAGAGAGAGAGAGAGAGAGAGAGCATGTGAAATCATTGTTTTGATGACAATATTTTTCTTCTTGTCAAGATCTACCTGCGATACTGATTTCCAATGTTTTTGACGAATCATGCTGTGAAAAACATTTAGTGGAGAAAGATAAACTGATAATATAATCTTTTCTATAGCACATAATACCCCTCTCCTTTAGTATCAAAAGGTTAAGGTCTGTATGCACACTTATGAATTTATATCTATATTTGAAATAGAAGATAAAGTAAATAACAACTTCATCAACATATCCATATGTAAGAGCATTAATTTCATAATGCAATGAGAAATATCTTTCGTGATTGAGAACAAGAGAATAAGAAACAAAAAGATTTTGCATGTTGTAGACAATTACATGTTTGTACTGTCCTACCTCATGATTTCTCGTACAAGTAGAACCAAAATAAACAAAACTAATATTCAAATTTTACTTGCCTATAAATTATTGTACTACGAATATATATTAAATTCATCAATTTTAAGAAAAGCGCTCGACATCATTTGAGAACTGAATGCATTTTATTTAGATTTTGAATTGAAAAACAGTTTATTTTTCACCAGAGGTCAGATGCTTACGATCGAATTTGTGTAACCACAGAAAATATTATCCATATAATACCAGTATATACAGAACAAATTTACTCTCCTACATACTCATTCTCGAATCATCGAGAAAATTCTTCCATTATCATCACCTTTCTCGCTCCTTTACTTCCGATCTGTCAATTAAATATATCTTTTATATATATAGATAGATATATTTATCGTTCTGATGGTAAAATTTCTTTATTAAATAAATTATAGATTATCCCATTCTATATATTGTCATCTCGATTGAATCAATATGGTAAGTTCAAATTAGTTTTTCTTCTAAGATATTAACTTGTATGATCAGGCGGTTGTTGGTCTTGATATGGGCAATTTTTCATCGTATATCGGTGTTGCTCGAGCTGGTGGCGTTGAAATAGTTGCAAATGAATACTCAGATCGTCTAACTCCGTAAGTGAAATAGATAGTTAGTTCGAGGTTTTCGAAAATAAAACTACCTTTAGAACTTATGTTACATTTGAGAAATCGACACGCGCAGTCGGTCAAGCATCGAAAGCCATGGAAATCAGTAATGCAAAAAATACGATTTGTAATTTTAAACGATTACTAGGCCGCCGATTTCAAGATTTCTTTGTTCAACAAGAGAAAAAACTTAATGTTTATTCAATTCTCGAAGGCAACGGAGGTTCAGTTAACATTGAAGTATTCGAAATTGTTGAATTAAATTTAAAAAAGAAATAAACAAGAAAATATTTTTCAGGTGGATTATCTTGCTGAACGTAAACGTTTTACACCAGAGCAAATAGCTGGTATTATGTTTTCGAAATTGAAACATATAACTAATACAGAATCATCAACCAAACCGGTCGATTGTGTTATTGGAGTAAGCAGTTTGAATAAGAAATTTTGCATTTTCTCTCTTGTTTTAAGGTACCATGTTATTATACTGATGCTGAACGACGCGCAATGCTTAATGCTGCACACATAGCTGGATGGAATTGTCTTCGGCTGCTCAATGAAACAACAGCTGGTAAGTCGATTATAATATGTATATATATAAATAAATTTTATTGCTAAATAGTCTATAAGAAAGAGACCGTTAAATTTTATTCTATTATTAAATAACCTCTAATTTTTCAGTGATTCTTTTAAAACAAGAGTATTATTTATAGTAACTATTGTACTATACGCTATTACTATGAAGATTCAGTCTTTATTCTAATATAACCTTCATCAAAAATTCATTATTGTAAATGGAATAAAAACGAGCTATTTTTCAGTCGGCATAATGAGAACTATTCAATTTCTGACGTAGTATATAAATGCACTAAAACTTTTCGAAAGAAAAAAAATTCTTAATAATCCTTCGCTTTTACTCATATTTTGATGTAATATGATCATTTGAAAAATATTTTGCTGGATGATTTAAATATATTTATTTAATATGAATATAAAAGCTTAAATCAATAGATATGGCTTAGTATATGACAAACATATTTTTGCATTTGAGCAATTTAATACTGCACAGCTTTTCGATTCTTATTTTGAACGAAGTTATCCACGTGTTTATCTAGAGTAACAATCAATGTTCCGTATAAATATGTATTTATTAATTTAGTTGCTCTTTGCTATGGCATTTACAAAGGAGATCTTCCAGAACAGACAGAAAAACCACGTCTGGTCGCATTTGTCGATATAGGCTATACTGCATTACAAGCATCTATTGTTGCATTTAATAAAGGAAAATTGAAGGTAGGTGTTGTTTGTTTTGGTAATCTTTTCACTCGCGGTTATTTTCTATTCACAGATGATAGCAACTGCTTTCGATCCATCATTAGGTGGTCGAGATTTTGATCGTGTTATTATGGATTCAATGCATGGTGATTTTAAGAAACGCTATAAAATTGATGCCTATAGTACAGATAAGGCTAAATTAAAATTACGCGGTGAATGTGAAAAAGCTAAAACGTTAATGTCTAGTAATGTTCAACCAATTCCAATATCACTCGAATGTTTTATTGATGAAAAAGACGTTAGTGGAAAAATTTCCAGAGCTGACTTTGAAGAATTATCTAAACCATTACTTGAACGAATACGAAATACACTTGCAAATCTGCTTAAAGAAGCTGGTAAGTTTATTTGTTATTAAGAGATGAAAAATAAAAATAATCATCTTCGAGATAGTGTTTTGTCGAAAATATTTCACCATTCTTCAACTAATAGTATAACAAGGAGAGCTTGCTGTTCTAAGATGTAACTATACGATTGTATCATATTATACCCGCCTCTATGCCTGGATCAAGTAGATAGGAGCAATGCTAAATTTCTTCTAAACATATTTTCCTTTCGAATGAAGAAACAATATTTTGACAGAATGTAATTGTGTGTGATTAATTAGGTTGATTATTCGGAAAATTGATCTATTCCATCATCGCTACATATTTCTATTAGATATATTAACTCGGATGAACGACGGCAATGAATACAGAACAAAGCTAGTAGCTAATCAAGGAGAAGAACAAAAAGAAGGATGCAGAGCAAGGACATTTTGATCTAACCTTATCGACACATAGTATGACAACTAGCTCTAATGAAAATGTCACTACTATTACATACAGAGGACGGCTTTCTTTTAACCTTGTAGGGTGCATAGAAATATTTCTATGGTCGCCTATCGGTATCGCTTAAGTACTTAGTAATCTCAAATATAGTCAATGAAGGGCCATGGGCAAACAGGTTAAGAAATTTTCCAGAATTCACTAAAAAACTATGCTGTAACATGTGTTTTTAAAGACTTAAATCAAATTGAATAGATTTAAATTTGTAAGAGTGTACTATGCGTTTGTGCATGTAGAAATGAATGAATAAAAAAAATTATGTTACATAATCTCTATTGAAGTTACACATAAAATTTTAATTATTTCTCGAATTTTAAACAGGAAAGACTCATAAATAACTGGTCGCTTTCGTTTCTAGAGTATGTACATGTTTCAAGTAAGATCTGTTATAGATGAGTAACAAAAATAAATATTAAATAATGAAATATCTACCAGATCGTTCCGACTTCAGCTTGAGAGTGAAAAACAACAACATACACATCTCAAATTTTATGTTAATTAATTAGTTCCATAACAAACGTTTCTCTTTTTTTTCTGGTTACTAGAAATTGCATCCGATGATCTTGAATCTGTTGAAATTGTCGGTGGTTCCACACGTATTCCAGCTGTTAAACAAATTATCCAGAGCGTCTTCCGAAAACCTCCAATGACAACAATGAATGCCGATGAAAGTGTTGCACGTGGTTGTACATTAATGTGTGCTATATTAAGTCCAACATTTATAGTAAAAGAATTTAAAATTCAAGATTGTCAACCATATCCAATAACTTTGTCATGGCATGGTGGAATTAATGAGGATAATGAAATTGAATTATATAGTCGTTGGAATCCTTTACCATCGACGAAAATGCTTTCATTTTATAAAAGAGAACCCTTGACAATTTCAGCTTGTTATTCATATCCAAATGATATTCCATTTTCCGAATCACGTATTGGTATGTTCAATCAGCTAAGCATAATTTATTAAAAAATCAAAAAAGAAAAGTTTAGGTCAATATACAATCGAACAAATCCGTCCACAACCTGATGGTAATCCATCGAAAATACAAGTTAAAGTTCGTATTAACCGTCATGGAATATTCGATATTACGCAGGCATGTATCGTCGATACAACTAAAGAATTAAAAGGTATAGATTTCGTAGGAAATTAAAAGCTTTAAAATAAAAAGATTATCTTATAGACGAATTTATGGATTCGAAAGGAGTAACAGAAAAAAATACTGAACCAAATGTTTCTACGGCAAATGAACCTGCGGATGAAGTAGGTAGTTTTTTTTTCGCTTGATTATCTTTTGAATTTTTTTTTTCTTCGAAGAATAAAACACCTACTGGTGAGAATCAACAAGATGAAGATGACGACGATAATAATGATTCGAAAAATTCCACAGCAAGAAGCAAAGGAAAAGATATTGAGTTGCCGATAACGGCTCGTGTATCTGGTCTAACTAAGCAAGAACTTGAGCAATTAACTGAACGAGAAGTAAGATAGAAGCTTATTGAAAACAGAAAAAATTCTATTTGTTAATCTATTCTATAGCTTGAAATGATTTCACGTGATAAACAAGTAAAAGAATGTCTCGATGCGAAAAATGCTCTTGAAGAATATATTTATGATATGCGTGGTAAGTTAGATGGTGGTGCATATGAAAAATACTCGGATGATCGAAATCGACAAAAACTATTAAATGATTTACGAACAACTGAACATTGGTTATACAATGAAGAAATGAGTCAACCTAAAAACGTTTATTTAGAACGATTGAAAAGTTTAAAAGTATTTTAGAAATATTTCCTTTATTAGAAAATTGCATTCCATCGTATTTTTATTAATTAGAATCTTGGCGAGCCTATTCGTAATCGTTACGATGAAGCTGAAAAACGTCAATATCATGTACAAGAATTTGTTATATCATTAAAACAAGTTGAAGAAGCGATACAAACATGGCAAGCAAAATCAAGTGATAGATATTCACATATTGATAAGAGCGACATAGACCGAGTTTATAAAAATTTCACTGAAAAACGTAAATGGTATGAACAAACAGTAAATCGCCTTAATTCAGTTCGACCCCATGAAGATCCACCAATACTTTGTTCACAAATTAAACAGCAACAAGATGTAAATGATTATTTTGAAAAAACTTTCGTTTGATTTTCTATTAGAACTCTTTAATTTTTTTTAGACTCTTGAAAGAGAATGCTGGTCGATACTAAATAAACCAAAGCCAAGAGTTGAACATCCGAAAGATATGTCCACTGATACTCCAAGACGACATCCTGCAACATCCGATGGTAGACAACAAGGTCCACCGCCACCCCCTCCACCGCCATCTTCAGGCAAAAAGTCTTCATCATCCCGGAAACCATATCCACAAGAAAGTACTAATCCAACGTCTATGGATATTGAGTGATTCGAAGCTTGATCAAAAAGACAAATCTCTCTTTTTTTTAGAAGCGTTCGAATATGCTTGTTTTATTTCTATTGCGAGATCTTATTTGGTGCTGAGTGTTTCAAAACTGTATCTCTATTTATTGTCCCCTTTATTCGACTAAGTTCCATGTTGATTATCTTTGTTCTTTTTAGTCTATTCTGTCATGCGTTCTTTACTGAGTCCGGTTTGTATTCAGATTTCAAACTCAAATTTGATTGTGGTGTTTCTTCTCGGAAGAGAAAAAAATTCTACAGTTGATAAGATATTAATGAACAAAAAGGAAAATATTAGTCACGAGAAAAACACTAAAAAACTAGATACTTCCATGTTAGAGAAGCTAAAATATTTGTGCGCATAGTTTTCGTTTTCACATGTGTATACGCTAATCATAATATTTATATTGTTTCTTTTATTTTTTCTTTTTATCTATATTAAACGAACGAAAAGGATCACTTATAATGGCAGTAAAATAAATATTTTCAACAGACAGTAAACACGTCTTGTTCTTTTCTTTTCTTTTTGTTTTGTTATGAAAGGCTAATCAAAATATTTCTTTTGTTTGACAACGACACGTTGTTGACAAAAAGGAATAAATTTTCAAGTGATATATCTATCATCAAAATAAAATTAACATTTTAATAATATTTCACTAAAGCGTTAGAACGTGAAGTATGACTAATCAAATGAAAAGCTGTTACTCAAATCTATCGAAGCCTACATTATATAATAGGTTGTGATTGTGATTGAATGACGATTAAGAAAATCATCGTTTTATGTTCGTCAAGGGAATTGTTCTGCATAACACATCAAAAAAATATTTCACCTCCTGTCGAAGAAAGGCAATGTTTCGATACAGCATGTCGAAATGAAAATAAACCCACCGGGACCACTGTCAGGGGAATGAATTTTCGAAATTGCCATGATTATTATTTCGCATCTCATTTTCTTGTTTGTCAAAAATGTTGATGATTTTTGCCACCTTCTACTTGTACTATATCATCTTTTGTTATTCAGAACATTTTTTGTAAGAAGGTAATATAGTTTCCCCATGTTCTTTGAAATGAAGACTTAAGCTTGAAGCATATAGCGCCAATGTAGACTATCAATTCAAATCAAAATACCTCATAAAGCAGTATCATGCCGAGAAAAACAAACATATCAAGACTATCTATTCTTTGATCATCAATAGCCGCCATCAATTTTTCTGTTAATTACATCTATTCGCTATTTAAACTTCAATCAATCTTCTTCATCGATGGTAGTCAATATTCCTCTTAGTGAATACTTGTTAATTATCATCCTATTCAGTAAATTGTAGTGAGAAATCGATTGATATTGACACATAGTTGTGAGAATTCTCATAAGCATTTTTACGAAACAAACAACAACAACAACAACAATAGTCTATTTATTCATTTGCATAATTGATCTAGCTGTTACATTTTTTTTTCTTATTTTCGTTGGGCGTCAATCGTTAATGTCTATATTTTTTCTCGTTGACCGATCATGAAGTTCAACATCGCTTTTTTTTCCTTTCTGTTTTTCTATAGCGAACACACGGTGTGAAAACGAAAAAGGAGAGGAGAAAAAATCAGTAGCGTATAGCATCTATATTTGGATAGAAACGGTCGAGGGTGGTATATACACATTCATTTTGGCCAATACGACAGACGAATTGACATGGTGAGTGCAATGATGAATATCTATTCATTAGTAACGATAAAATTAATCAATATAAATACCAGATTGAATATTCAATTTATGTCATTTTTTCAGAATTCCATTTATCAATGAATCGTTCGCCGTTAAGCGATTTCAACCGTCGACGTAGTTTATTTGATTCACCAAATTTCGTTCGTTTTATTACTAAAACACTTCATCCTCAAGATAAAATAGATTGTAAATTAAATTCTACAATAAGTTCGAATTCACAAAATTATTCATCCTATAATCCTATTGAAAAACATAGTGTAGCTGTAACACGAAAATTAACAAATATGAACGAACCATCTCCATTGCAGTTAAATCGAGGTATGAATTTTCTTGGCAATAACTAAGAAGAAAAAAAAATTAAAATTTTATTCTCTTCAAGGTATCATTCAATTGAGTTTAATTACCTCGGATAATCATTTAACTGTAAAAAGTAAGAATTTCTTAATTTGAAATAATTTTCTATTTTATTTTTTTTCCAGTTATTCGAGTTAAAGGTATTCATCAACGTTCATCTAATATTCTAATAAAAATGACGTTAATACCGGATCGTAAACCATTAGAATGTAATACACGTGCTGTACCAAATTTAAATGGTTCAGCTATTTTTAATGAAAAATTTACATTTGAGATAAATAATGATGATTTACATAAACGTCTTTGTTTTTCAATACATAATTATCAACAAGAAAAAAACGGTATGCAACTACAAGGTTGTTTATCATTCGGAATTAAAAATACATTAAAAAAACAACGAGTAAGCAGAAAGAAAATTTCCTTGGAAAATAAAAAAATAACCTTTTTTTTTGGCCATTCAATGAAGATTCGTGGTTGGTTTTATATTTTACAAGAAGATATCGGAGAACTACGCCATAAACAAGTACCTGATCATGGAGAAAAACATGTTACAGCTATTAATCGGGATATAGCTGATTTAGAAGAACATCAAGTATGTAATTTAATTTTAGCGATTCAGAAAATCTTATTTATTCTTTTATTTAGTTTACTATATCACGAGGTGTTAATGATTCATTTGGCTTTACCGTTGTTGGTGATAGTCCAACATTTGTTGGAAAAGTAACTGAAAATAGTCCAGCAGCACGATGTGGACTTAGACCAGGCGATTATATTGTTAAAGTTAACGGGCAAAATGTTTCGCGTGCTCAGCAACGAACTGTATCGAATTTAATTAAGTAAGAATTTATATTTATTGATTTCAACACTATTTTCTATGCTCGTACTCGTTTATTTTCTAGACATTTGAAACATACAGTTACATTAGATATTCATCGATATCCAAGTGGTCATCCAACACGAACACCCAATCGTGATATTCTTTCATTGTTATCGTCAACTGGTACTGTATCAACAGAAGATTCGTCGACATGTAGTGATTCGTCAATTTCATATCCTTCTCATCGTTTTAAGCAAATGTCATCGTCTAGTTCTAATAGAAACTTTGTTGATCTTGCGCAATTGGGACATTATGTTGAGCCGAAACCATTGATTCGACAAACTACCGGATCGTCCGCAGCGACAATAGCAGCACAGCCATTTTATGAAATGACAAATTCATCAATGTTAGCTTGCAAAGGTTCACCAACGAATACATTTGTTTAAAGAAAAACGAGAGAAAACAAACAAATCTATTCGTTGCTTTGATAACTAGTTTCTGATAGTAAACTTGAAGTTTTGATTTTTTTTTTGAATATAATGTATAGAATATAATTCATTCTGTGCTCTTTTTTTTTTCGTAAGTTTATTTATTGTTGTGCGTCATGTGAAATAGGTTTTTTTTGCGTTCATATTTGGAAATGAGAATAAATCGGAAATTTTGAATTTGGTGTTAGTGATAATAGCTATTTTCGGAATGAATAAGAATGCAATACAATTGATATGGTCGCTCGATAATGATTACAGGTTTAGTTAGCATCGCTGTAATTTTATTTCTATTTGAAAGAAAGTGCTGAAGCCTACTGTGCAATTAAATCTTTCTTTTCTTAGCAGAGAGAAACAGTGACAAATGCTAAAAGAACGCTTCATAAATAGAAGATCACGTTTTCATGAAAGTTTAAGTGCCGTTGCTATTGTTTTTTATGTATTTATCTGAATTTTGATTCACTCAAGAAAGACTTCTATTAATTTGATTTTTACTATGAAGAGTCATTCGTTCATATCAATGATTTTCCGGAGAATTCCAATGTTTGAAGGATTACAATTGATGCTACGTTTTGGACAATAGAATGCATATGTACTTAATTTATAACCATTAGGTATAATTTGAAAATGCATGTTCAAAATATTTGTGGATTCATTTACTGTTTATACATCAAATGATGAAAGATTTGAGATGCATTATAATTAAAATTCTATTTATAGACTTGGCTAGAAGCCATAGTGCTAGTTTTTATGGGAAAAATGGTTTTGATTAGAAGCCGATGTTCCTCGATATGAGGATCACAAGTTTGAAATAAATTTTAAAAATTTATAGATCACCAAATTGTCAATATCGTACGCCGCCAACAATAATTAATTCGAACATAGAGCATTGAATGATGATTTCTTGTTAAATAAAGAAAAAATCAGAAATTTTCTTTTTCTCGTTCTGAAAAATAAAGAAATATCTAACCACAAATTTGGACTGTATACGATTGGCACGTTTGCAGGTCTTCTTCAGCATAAAGATTTTAAACACATACCATCAACTTGAAAATTTTAAATACTCAAAATTGATTTCAAATATGTCTCTCATAGATATAAAAAGCACAAGAAAAAACAACATAAATTTCCCCGAGAACATAATTGCATTCGTCTTAAGAGTTTTTGATTAACTCTGACTCATGTATCTTTGTTCTATAATTACAATTCTATTTATGACTATCTTTTGCATTAGTACATTCCTCGTTTTTATTATGTTCATTAATATTTATTCAATAGTTTTCGATACAGAAAATAAATAAATAAAAAAATATTATTACTTTAAATACATACCATTTTAGATTTTCGCCATCCGCCCCTAGCCGAGAAAATAAATTCAAGGCTCAAAGCTCTTCCTGTCGATCGATTATGATTTGTTCTAAAAAGGAAATGTCAAAAAGGAAGTAAAGAACACAGTTTTATTAAAACAATGTCAATCTGAATACTTCACACACATACACGATGTTAAATAAGTAGTCGAATACAATAATGAAAGCATAGTTTTGTTGCTATGTGATTAAATATGCCGCCACCGTTATCAAATACACATCTCCGTACTCCATTGGGTTTTAACGAATTACTTATATATTTAACACGTGAAATTCTTCGATCACAACCAGAGAATATCTATGAATTTTGTTTAACTACATGTCAACAGTTGTAAATTTTTATCTTCCTTTGTTTAACCTTGTTTATTGTTTTTTATTTGTCTTAGGATTAATGAACGAAACAATGGTATTCTAGCTCGTGAATTAATAAAATTAGATTCAACTGATTATTCTCTTGACAATCAACAATAATAAAATCATATGATCAAACAACAACAACTTGCACCAGAAAAACTATTTAATCATATGTATTTTCTTTTTCTACATTGAACATACTGATCAGTAGCCAGGTGAATGATGACTAAGCACTCGTTTCTAAAACTTGGATAATTGAACACGCTGATGCATTGTGTAATACGCATACTTTCTGCATATTAAATCTAATTAAAATATACTGCATTTTCAATTTTATGATGAGAAAACATACATATATTGGGTGAATCTTTTTTTTTCTATAAACGACTAGCCATGATTGCGGTTACGCCAATCACAACGTGTTTTGAAGAAGGATAAACTATCAGAAAGAATAAATATCTGTGACAGTTTCGTTCTTTTAGACATCATTGAATTTTTTCGAGAGTTTAATATAAATCTCCACAGATATAATCTTCGATTTAATTTTTATATTATAAGCTTTCAAACAATTATATTTTGATTATTCTCTCATTGCAAAAAAAGCAGTTTACCAACGAGAGATGCGCTCACCAAAAAGATGTTCTGATCTACAATTTTTGTGAGATTGAACATCAGAGTTCGTTTCTATAACGTTGTGTGAAATTATAACGATGTCAAACGAGAGATGAATAAAAAAATTAGATCGAGTTTTAAATGAAACACAAATGAAAACCGTTATTGTTTATCAATTTTTTAAAATTATGTATAAACTGCAAAAGAAAGAAGGTTGGTTGATAAAAAGGCAATTACAGCTGTAGCATCAGCAACAAAATCAGAGTACTTCTCAAGTATCAAGATTCATTTCAAAATAGAATAAACTACAAGGAATAACCTGCATAAATAGTAGTGATTCCATGTATCGCTACCATGCTAAGCTTTCTCACTGAGAAGTTCTTAGTGACTGATACAAAGTTAGCGCCATCTATATTATTTTTTGTCAATTCACCCAAAATCCTGCTGCACCTTTCTTAGTTGATGTTTTTTAGCTGGAAATAAATGAGTATCTTAATTCATAGTGCGTGTGTATGTGAAAAGTACAGCTGAGAAACAAATCTCTGATACTAAGTCAATCGATTACACCAGATCATTCATCGTACATACATTGAAAGAATGTACTGCACATAAGATATGCGTCATTAATTAATGAATGTATTGAATAAATAACTATTTGATCATTGGTTCAATAATGACATTTTTATTGCATTTCGAATCATCGATATCATTCAGTTTCAAAGGTTATCAATAATCGATATTCATGTGTGATGAACTTAAAATATGATTAATAGGCTTTTATTGCGAAACATTGATATTTAATTCTCTCCTATTAATCATATTTTGAGATGAAGATAGATAAGAATAGGGGGTAGTCTTTTTCTTTTCTCTTATGATATGAAATTACGTTCAAGAATAGCGAATGTTTTGCTTTATTAAAAATTTCTTTTTTTATTGAAGTATCTAATATCCATGCACAATGTGTTTGTATCTTTTCACAATAAAATAAGTAGGATGATGAATAGGAAGAAAAGTATATGTTTTGACGATGAATAGATAGTGACAACAAAAGAATAGCACAACTGTTCCTCATATACAAAAGACAAAGAGCGGAGAGGAAAAGAAATCGGAAAATATACACTGTACATGTACTCGATAATAATACAATAAACAAATACATTTTTGGCGGTATGAAAGGAAGAATGAGATATGTGCAAAAAGAAAAACAGCAATGATAAATGTGTAGTATCACACGAATGAAAAGGTAGATGTGCGTTGATTTTTGTCAAAAGAAATATTAAGAGAAAAAAAACTCGACGAACAAGGTCCCTTATTTCATTAATTTGTCGAAATTGTTGTTTTACAGGAGCACCAAATTCACAAAGCACTGTTTTGCAGTAGAAGGCAAAAGAAAAAATAGAGAACAAATATTATCCTCATCAGCCAGATATATATCTATATATATATATATCTATATGTACATGAAAAGACAATCCATTGCACATCTGTACAGACAAAAAATACATAATATATAAGCAAGTTTGAATTGAGCATTTGCATGCGTTTCTATACATTTCAGGGGAAAACTCCTCCGATATCCATTTCATTATCGAAACTAAACGATGTAGACGATAAAAATGGATCGTGAGAAAGTGGGGATAATGGATCAACATTATTATTATTTGTATTTCCATTGACATTTGTTTTATCATTACTATCATCATCAACAATACCATATGCCGCTAGTGAATCAAGCATTGGAAATGAATCGATAGTTGCGAATATTGGTGTTGATGGTGGTACTAATGGATTTGTTGAATTATTTATTGATGATGATAATGACGAAGGTTCTTGTTTAACTATATTTGATGTTTGAACAGCTATTACTGGTGAACTTTTTGTTGGTGAATTAACTGAAACACCATTTAATAAACATCGTCTTTCTAATTCCTAAAAAAAATTCACATAATGTTTGATATAAATCAAGGCTTTATTTAGTATCATACGCGAACTCGTTCTTGTAATGATAAATTTTGTTCTGAAAGCATTTGACATTTCTCTTCTACTAACGAGATATTATTGTATTGACGCCGTAATATTTTGATATAATCAACTGAAGCACGTAATATTGTTCCTTTGTTTTGTTTCAGGTCTCTTTAAAAATAAAATTATGTTGATTCAGTTTTAAATTCAAGTTATTTTTTATACTTACAAATCTGTTCCTTTGGGTAATAATGTTCCAAGTTCTTTAATACGATCATTGATGTTAAATCGACGGCGACGTTCAACTGAAGAAAACAATCAACAATAAAAAAAAATTCGTTTTGTTTTTTCTCGTACTCATATTATGATTATCTTTTTTTTGACGATCACGTAAGACAAGACGCATTTCATCGTCGGTTAGTGGTAGGCCAATTTTTGCTTTTGCACTTAAAATATTTGTCGGACAAGATGATGAATGACGACTCATACTATCCATAGAATCTTTTGAAATCGACGATGAGAGAAATATTGAATCAGGATGATCACCGGTCATTGTTGTTGACAACTAAAAGAATACATTTAAAAATAAAATTTTTGAAAAATGATTTATTTACTCGTGGCGTTATACTAATTCCACGCGAGGCACTATCAATACTTCCACACGTTGTGTCATCATTAAGTTGATCGTCCATCTAGAACGAAAACTCGATTAGAATTTTTTTGTAATTGACATTTTGTTTCTTTTTTTAATTTACTTCCGATGTAATTTCACTGTCTGGTGATGATTCTTCTTGTTGAAGTGGTTGAGATGACTGTGCATGAAAACAAAAGTAGAAGGTAACAGTTTAGCTTTAAATAAAATAGAAAAATAATTTAGTTCAAGGACTTACAGCAATTGTATGTGTTGAAGTTGGTACGTCATCAACTATACTTTGTTTACGACACATTTGTTCAAGATGATATCTTGTCGGATTTTCAAGACGAGTTTGAACAGTCTATTCAAGGAAAGAATATGAATGGGTTTTCATTGAGATAAATAGATATATTCTAAGATCAAACTTTGTTCTTCTAGCTAAGGCCAACATTACGCGCTTTCATAAACACATAGATATGCAATAAGTGTTTCTTTTTTTTTTTCTTTTTTTTTCTCTTTTTTGTCATATCACTACCCTTCTTACCTGTATAAGTTGTGCAGGTGCAATAGTCTGTTTAAGTAATAATGTAACTGCATCGACTTGTTTTGCTGATGTTGATTGTCCGTTGTTGTTAATAATAGTATTATTCGATACTGGCGATGAAACACGTATAGTATTCGTTGTTCGTATTGGACTATTGTCATTCGAAGATGATAGTCGACTTATCAATGAACTTGATATTGGTGATATACTTGTACCAGTTGAATTAGGTGGTGTACGTTGCTTGTTAAAGCTATCATCAGTCTTTAAAAATACAAAATAAAACAAAAACGCAGGAAATAATAGAGAAAAAAGCTTTTAGAATATTTACTAATTGCCTGCGTAATTGAACTGTTCCGCTACGTTTATTTGTGCTTCTTAAAGTAAAAGATAAAATAAAAAATTTCTAAAGAATAATTCTTATTTTAAAATTTTTACATCGGTTTGACAATCCGATAGGGTGATGATGATGGTGATGATGTTGATAGTAAGTCTTTAATCATTGATTCTTTTAGAAATTGATTTCGTCGTAATTCGTCAACAAGCTCGAAATCCAAATCAGTTAAGTTCGGGTCAGACGAGGTGAACATTCGCTTCAATATTTTTCTTCTGTTTTTTGTTATTTGTAAGAAAGAGAGAGGGAGAGAGAGAAGAAAAAAAACGAGAGAAGTAAACGATAAAAAAAAATCTAGAAGGACGAAAAGAAAAAAAAAGTAAGCGAGTATTTTTTCTTTTAGCGTCGTGTAAAAATACGAGAAATCAACTTTCGTTAATAATCAAATAGCATCGAGATAAACAGCTGTTTTTTGTTGTTGTTATTGTTGGTATTAATAACTATCCGTCAAGCAAAAACAAAAGCGACAAATAGAAATAAGATTCAATATAAAAAAAATCATCGTAAGGGCGCGATGATATGTTTAATGCTCGTCTTTTTCTAACCAATAGAAATAAAGATTAATTATTGTCATAGTGACTATCTTTCGTTTTGTTTTGGAGAAAAACGAAGAAAGAAGTTGACCCTTGACTATTTGACGCTGACATGAAATATCAATTTAAGTACTTATTATACAAAAACGTCAGAAGATAAAAGTCTAGCAAAAAGAAATATATTACGAAGAAAATTTATTTCATTTTGTGACGCTTATGTTTTGAGAAACAGATGCTTGTAATGTACGAATTTCAAAGGAAATTGCCGATGATGTTAAATAAAACTATTGCCTGCTGTGTGCTCTAGTAAAAATAATTATTTATACAAAAGGTAAATCTATCACTAATCAGAAAAAATTCGCTTGTAAAACAGTCACAGTATGTAATCAGTCAGATATTTCGTAATAAGAATGTTTTTCGTATGGCAAAATTGGAATTCATTGAAAGAGATTTACATTGTTGCACGTAGAAGTACTGCATTCGAAATAGAGCTGTTTCCTATTTTATTATACATGCATAGCGATATAATGAGTGAATTATTAGGTGGTTATTTGACGATGCCAATTATAACCTATCTGCATATTCCTGAAAAATAAATATTTTTAAAAGTAAAAAATTGGTCTGTTTGTTTAGGTTATGATCAAATAATTATAACAATTTTTAAAACATTCGAACAGTTGTCAACATATATTATTCTATTGTAAATTGAACAAAATCACAGTGTAAAAAAAACACATTATCTGCTTTCTATTGATTAACCTATTTCAATGATTGATAAATATCTGTTATTACGTTTTCGGCAATAGTTATAGACTTAAAAATGTCGATATAAAAATTGAGAAATCTAGATTTAACGTTGCATGCCACCATAGATTGGGGAAAAAAATAATATCGCCTGGATGTAACGTACATTCGTAAAGAAATGGCTGCTTTTGTTTGAATCGTTTTTCAATTGCCCATTCAGTTGTAGTTTCATTTGGATCAAAAAAAGGTTTTTCTACAGATAAATACCAACGTTTTCTACCGACTATCATTTGTTGAAAACCGGGACCATGAAAATGAAATGGTACACCAGTACCTGTACCACCCATGCCAAAATTTAATGATGGTTCAAAAAAATCACCAACAGCATACGGTGGTGGTTTATAATATCGTAGCATTTGATGAAGCCATTTTTGATCATTTAATAAATCATCACCGAACCAATAAAGGGTTTCACTAAAATGCAAAAAGAAACGAAAATTTCTATTTATCATTCTATTGAGTTTCTTACTTTCCCCATTTGGATTTTACTGGCGATTCTTTTTGTAGACTAATATAGTCATTTAGTTTAATGTATTGTTTTTTATATGAATATGTATTTGCTGTTGTTACAGTTATATATTTATTTCCATAACGACGCAATATAGAATCCAGTTGAATCAAATTAAGAAATTGTTTATCGATTGGTATTTGACGAAATACAACTGGCTTAGCTAAATATTTTTCGCTACCATAACGATTATTAAATTCATTTTGATTTATATACGAAAATTCTTCTGGAATATTACATGTTTCCAATGAATATATATCTTCAGGATAGAGTTTTGTTGAAACGATAACAAAAAAAATGATGTGAATAATAAAAATAGAATATTTGTACATGATCAAAATAGATTATTAAACTGTGAAGATATGGCCGATGTGATTTAGCTCGTTTTCATTTACTATGCATATATAAAGAACGAGTGGAAGAAGAAAAATGGCTAGTAAACTACCTCCATGTGTCTGTCGAATTTCAATTGGTTGATTTGAATGTACTCCTCAGTGCTACGATAATTAATAAGTAGAAAAAAAAAGAAAAATGATATCTCTGTTTCAAGGTCTACGGAAAGTAACACTAAATCGCATATATTTATCTTCTGACATTAGTAAATAGATAAAAATATTGAAAAATATGAAAATAATATTTTTTTTACGTTGAAACTATTTCAATGAATAGAATTTTAACAACCTTTCATATTGGGTACATGGAATGTAGAAAATGTATCACTCATGTAAAGCAATCTTTGCAATAACATGATTTCAAAAATATTTTAAACACATAATGGCAGACACATTTCTAGGTAAACGAAGTATATTTCGTTTCTTTTTCAAGTAAAATATGAGAAGTATTTTTTTTTAGAATAACCATGACTTCTTTATAATTTCTCGAACGCGTTGAATAATAAAATATAAAGCTTTGCTTTAGTCATACAGGCTATATTCAACGACCAATGATGAAATACAAGATCACGATATTTTATTTTTAGTACGTAATTAAAAATCTGGAGTACAAATTGCTACTTTAACTGACTTGTGATATATAATCATGGGTTGTGCAACTCTGGCAAACAGCCAGAAAATTTGACAAGTAATTTTTCTGAGTATTTTTTTATAAAAATTGATAATATTCTTTATGGCGCAATAAAGATTCTTCTTCTGTTTATACTTATGCATTTCGATCATAAGGAAGTTTTCATTGCGAAGATAATTCAATGAAAGAGGCAATTTTTAAAAAATCATTAGAACATCATCTCTCGTGAACGCTTTTATTATCAAATTAATCATTGAGTTATGTAAGCAAAAACTTATTCTTCATTTCTATTATATTCTGTAAGATATAGTTTATGCAAAGTTAATCTTTTTACACAGTGAAATATGCAGAAAAAAATGGGCATGAAAAACAAAAAATTAATCATAAACTATGTCTAATTAGAGAGAATAAAGAAAAAATCGATTCTTCATCGCATAGTCTAGTGTGCTACTTCTGTTGGTATGAATTCAAGTTCTTGGTAGCGTTTTTTCATAACGAAAGCGGCTGCTTTTGGTTGGCGCTGTCGAGTAAATAGACCCTTGCGATTTAGGCCACCTACACGAATAATACTTTGGTCAGTTGCAAAATCAAACATATTCCAGACTAATTCACCAACAAAATAACCTGTATCTGGATGAACAATAGAAGAAACATTATCAAACGATCCATGATAACCAGATAGGAAATCTTTTTGATACTCTTCAGTAAACATCAATGGTGGATCATTATGAAGACCAGGCACAGTATCTGCGCCATATTCGCTCATTAATATTGGTTTGTTTGGAAATCTATGTCGCCAATTAGCAAGTTCTTCAGATACCAATGATGGAATTTGATCTAGACGACCGGCTTGACTATACCAAGCAAAATAACGATTTATACAAATCATGTCAAAGAACTGAATACCTTGATCACTATTATAAGCAGCTGAAATAACATAAGTAATAGGACGACCTGCTGCTAATAGTCTTGTAAAATTAGCTAGCGCACTAAAATATCCTTTTGCCTCAGGATCACCAGATTCAGGTTCATTAGCCAACGACCACATAAGAACTGATGGATGATTTCTATCACGACTAATCATTTCTGTGACAACTTGTTTGTGATGATCTAAAGTAGCTTGTGAAACGAATTGATCTTTTTTCAATCCGACAGCTGGAGTTTCACCGATAATTGCTATACCAAATCGATTAGCCATGGCATAGAATTCATCAGCATACGGATAATGGGATGTTCGAAATGCATTACCATGTAACCAACCATATAAATTGAAATGTTTAGCTAGAATTACTCGATCGAATCCTTTTCCTCGAATATCACTATCTTCGTGGGCATTCGCTCCGTGAAAATAGAATGGACGTTCATTGACTAAAAATTTTGAGTCAGTCAATCGAATAGTACGAATTCCAACATGTGGTATACGATAGATATCTAAGATATTCATAGGCGATACATCATCGTAGAGTGTCACTTTTAGAGTATACAAATAACTTTCTTCAGTACACGGATGAGTATGATTCATTCCGCATGGTTCCCATAGATTTGGTTTGTTCACAATTAAACGCGATTGAGAATCAGTATTGTTCACTACAAGCATGCCTTGAGCATCAAAGAGTTCAATAATTACACGAAGAGTATTTTCTTGATGAGTAGTTCCGCCAATGGTGACAGAATAAGAAAGAACAGCGGATGTAGCTACATGTTGACTATCGAAATCAATGCTATCTGTGTCAATAGTGATATCTTGGATATAGTTATTCGAGGTAGAATAAAGTATAACTGAACGATCTATACCGGCATAATTGAAAAAATCAAATGGAGTTTCAAGAACACGATAGGTTGGATTATAAATATGTAGATATCCCGGTGGTAATGTTGTAGATGTAAGAGTATTATTAACAGCGACAACAATTCGTACTTTCGAATAGCTTACATTACTAGGAATGAATCGAGTAATATCAACTTCGAAAGGTAAATGTCCACCGGAATGATCCACTGCTGATTGTCCATTGACCCAAACATTTGCTTCATAGTGAGCAGCTTGAAATCGAAGTACCCAACGAGGTGCGGTATTGTGAAAAAAAAGGTCACGCGCATACCATACCATTCCAATATGCTGATGAATAGTAATATTTTGTGTTATATCATTGTACGAGGCTGGCACAGGCATAAGAATAGTAGGCGAAGGTAAATTTGACTTGGCAAACCATTGCTCAGTTTTACCTACACCAGCTTCATCGAGTCGAAATTCCCATAGACCATCTAATGATCGAATCTGTCTAGTTTCACTTTCTTCTGGATACAAAAGTCCATGAATAGTAACACACCACAATGCTAATACAAAAAGGCAAACCTTCATAATCCTACTATTAAAAAAACAGACCACTAGCAAAATGGCTGATATGTATATAGTTCGTTTCGTTCTATTTGCAGTTAGATATGAAATCTGATGTTAACTAAGAAGAAGCAGAATATACAACGATGAGACTAGCCTCCTGAATGTGCCTTTTCAATGTTCTTTTTTTATCTTTTATCAGAAAGTATTCGCTACCTGGAGGTTATGAGATGCACACGAAAAAAGGCTACGACGAGAACTTGTACTATTGATATAAAATGAAACTCATTGCGTTAAATCTTGATCTTTATTTTATGTAAAAATAGAAGCACATTCACTAGTAAGAAGAGTCTACACACTTTTAAGATTAATGTCGCAACTCAAAAAATTGTTCATCTCTATTCTGACGTAGTAAGATCGACCATAATTTTCTGCTGAATTCGATTAAGATTTTCTCGATTCAATTTTACTTCACTATTATCCGAACCAAAAGCACGACAAGATATATCAAGAGCTTGAGTAGCATGTTCGAGCGCTTCCTCATATCGTTGAAGATCTTCTAATGCTCTAGCTATATTTCGATGTGCAACAGCCAACGATGGATGATTCGATGTTAGTGTTCTTTGAAAAATTTCAAGCGATTTTACATAATATGAAACTGCAGTAGATTTATCTCCCATGGAAGAATGTACTAAACCAATATTATTATACGTAGTTGCAATTAATGGACTACGAGATGGAAGATGAGCAACTTGAATTTTGAGTGCAATTTGATAGCTTGCCAGTGCTTCTGTGTACTTTTTTTGGTCCTTTAATACTGCGCCAATATTATTATGTCGAGTTGCAATTTGCAGTTGATCAGGTTCGGGTTCATTAGTATCAATGGCAAGAGCATGTTGATATTGTTCTAATGCACCTGCAAGATCGCCTTGTTTTTTTAGAACAATACCGATACTAGAATAAGTTGGTGAAAGTGAAGGATCATCTGGTGACATTTCAGTTAAATTAATCTCGAGTGATTTTTTATAGTGAATTAATGCTGTGGTTAAATCACCTTTTTGATCATTAATATATCCAAGTTGATGATGAAGAAAAGCAAGTTCTTTACGATCATCAGATGTTGCTTCGAGTAGAATTGTGTAGATTTCTTCTGCTTTATTAAATTCACCCATTCTATGCATCAAAGCTCCCATTCGATGTAGACCTGTACCACCACGAATCTTTTCTCGTATATATTTTGTCAATTGTGTTAGTTGTGGGTCATTTTCACTTGTTAACTTTAGATCAACTTGCCACATACGACCTTCGATTTGTTTCATTTCTCCGATTCGAAAGACGGCATGCATTGAAAACAGAATTTCTTTTTCTACAGCTGAATAATAACTAATCGTATCCAACGATGCAAATGGTGTCGACGTTATTGGCGGATCGATTTCCATTCGGAAAAAAATAGCTACTAGTTCAGGATTATTTAAAGCTTTACGAGCAAATTTCATTGATACTTCCCTCGTTGTACTTGTTGATAAAAAATTATTAAATGATAGAAGACATCCTTTACTTTTCTTCATTTTTTCGAATTCATTATTCAAAATTCCTTGTCCACGATAGACAATAAATGAGCGTTGATTATTTGTTTGAGAATGCAATTGTTCAATTTGTTGATGAAGATCACGAACGAAAAAACCCATTTTAATAATTACTTCTACGTCTTGTGTTCGTAGAGCTTTATTAAGCATTGAATAAGCAAAACATTCACGTGTATACCACCAAATCGGTGATGGTTTGCTATAATTTTGATTGAATTCATCAATTATTTTTAATTCCTTTTCATTATCAGCATATTGTTCACGACAAAACTCAACGAGTTCACTTTTTGCCTTATCATCATGCTCTAATTCTAATAGAATTTCTTTTAGTAATTGTGAATACATGAATGATTGATCAAGTTCGTCGAGATTCGTTGCTGATATATTCGTAACAATACTAATTGGTATTAAATCAGTTTCACATTGACGAGCCTCCTTTTTTATGGCATCACAAATGTGTTCGATTTGAATAAAAATACCTTTGATTTTTCTATGGTTATTTATCCATTGTTCCTGTTTTAATTTATGATTCGAATAAATATAAATCGAAATCAGCTGAATCATTTCTTCAACAAGTTGAACAAAACTTTGACTTAGACCAGCAGAAATAATCAAAAATATTTTTTCATTTTTAATATCACGAATAAAATTCATGCATTGATCAGAATCAGTAAATGTTCGAATAGAATTGATTACCTGTCGGAATTGATTTATTGCATGTTGAGTTTTTCGTTTTGATTCTTTCATATTCGAATCTAACCATATTATAATGAAGTTTTCTACATTACGAGATCGAATCACCGATAGAGACTTGTTTGGAGCTGCTTGAGGCTTTTTACTTTCATTTTTGAGCGTATATGATGATGATGTCTCATCGGTTTTCGATGTTAGATTGCCCATTACATAAATCAAATGGAACTTAACTAAAACAAAACAATCATGCAGTTTGTTACTCTCCTATCCGCATAATTTAGTTCTTTTTCTAATGCTGTTCTGTTCTGCTTTTCAATTATTTGTATTCATCAAATATTTATAGTTATTTATGTTTGAGATGAGTAATAAAGTTTGTAGAAAAGTATTTATTTTCGTTAATTCCCTTTTCTGAAAGAAAAGAGATTATGCGCAGCTTAAATATGTTTGAAGTTTGGATGTATGCTTGTTTGACAAACCAATCAGATTTCAGTATCCACTAAACCAGTGAAAATTTCACCGCCGGCTCTCCCGAGAAAGATCTACCGAAGGTAATCGGGATCGACAAATCCGAATCCGAGATCAGTTTTTTGAAATTTTTTTATTTCTGATTTTTTAGGACCCTGAATCAGTTTTTTAGGAAAAAAAATTTTTTTTTATAAAGTTTGACCGAATGTAATCGCGGTCGAGGAATCCGAATCGAAGTTCAATTTTTCAAAATAGTCTAGTTGATTTTTCGGTAAACAAAGATCAACGGTCTGAGATCTATAGCACACCCTAGTCAACTCTCCCTAGAAGAATCCCCAGGGAGTCCCCAGGGATTTCGTTCTTATGCGGGGACTCCCCGGGGAGTTATCTGGTCAAAATCGATGAGATATCTAATTACTAATAAATTCTTCTTAATTTTTTAAAAATTAAAAAAATTAAAAAGTTTTTTTTTTATTTTAAAAAATTTCATCAATTCTCCCCAGAGAAATCCCCGGGGAGTCCCCCAAATAAAAAGCCCCCGGGGACTCACGACAGGGACTCCCCAGGGATTTCGTTATTTTACGGGGACTCCCCGGGGAATCGTTGGGGGAGAGTCGATTAGGGCAGCTCAAAGTTAATGATAATAATGAATGAAATCAATCGATAGTGTAATTTTGGTTTACATTAACATTTGAAATTGTCAATCTTTCATTCGTATATATGATCTTAAAATGGTATGATATAGTTATGTATGGTTATCATGAGCAAGTTTAACATAATCTATGATTTAAATTCTAATGATGAGAATAAGACTACCTAATCTAATACTATAGCCATAGTATTTATGACAAAGTGAAATAAGTATAAAGAACATCTCTTGATTAAATACTCTCAGCTTGATCTACTAACTTTTTGGAGACAATCTACCTGTTTTCACTGCTTTTGTTTCTATATAAATGAAAGATTGACGATAATAATAAGTATCGATGATAACTCTATACCGTGAAAAGTAAAACTGCGAAGACTGACAACACACATGCGTGATGGATTACTTTCGTATATCTAAAGGATCAACAGATCTTTACGGACATTCTCAAATTAATTAGTCTGAAATTCGATATTACAATACTCGATAATTAAAAGATTTCTGCCATTCTTTAATAGATTGTATTGTATTTATGATAGAAAAGTCCAATAGGATAAATTAGCTTTTTATACATTTTTGCTCTTTCATCGAAATAGTATAATTTTGTTTTTTCACGCGATAGAGAAACAAAACGAAAGTTCAACTATACCAAAATAAAACAGTAAGCGACAACTTGTAAGTTTGATCATGTTAACCAAACAAAAGGTGCTGGTAGTTAACTAAGAGCATATTATAATTGTGTGCATATATTTATTGAAGTTTTTAGTGCAACATTTTTAAACGAAAGCGTATATGCATTTCTCAATAGGATGCGACATGGCTCATTTCTAGTTAAGTGTGCTTTAGCAATATAAATAATATGATCATTAATTCGATATAAGTATCTTTTCATAAATTATTATTTTTAATCATCGCTATCATTTCCAAACTCGTCCATGAATTTTTTCATATCAAGTGGCTGTTTCGAAGTGTAAGTTTTCGATGTAGCATAACTCTGTTCATTAGATGCCGTAAAAATAGTCGGATCATTTTCTCCATCATAACTTTCCAAATCGGAATCTTCATAATCATCGCCTTTTGTAACTAAACCACTTTCTTTTTTCCATTTTGCCAGGTCACTCTTACTAAATTTACCTTTCTTCGCATCACTCCATATTTTCGCATAACTATCGTTTGCAGGGTCAATGCCGAAACTTTCTTGCTTCCATTTAGCTAAATCAGTTGGATCGATTTTACCTTTTTCTTGGGAATCGTTGAACATTTTTTTGTAGACATCATGACTATGATCTTTCTTTCCGACTGTCGTTTTTTCGACCGAAGTATGCGTGTATGATTTCTTATACGATTTCTTTGTTGTTCTTGTCACCTGATCCGTCTCTTTTCCTTCTTCTTCTTCTTCTTCATCCTCTTCCTCTTCTATGTCAATTTCTGTAATAGGGCCTGCATTTCCAGTTGATTTTTCAAGTCGTTTCACTCTGAATGAAGCATACGGTAGTATTAAAACTTCTTGTTCCCATGGATATTCTGAAATATTTTCAATTGCTAAAGCTGTACCAATGCGCTTGATCAAATATTTACAGACCACTAAAGATACTGTAGATGAATTATCAGATACTGCGAATGATTCAGCTTCTTTTCGTTGTTTCGATGTACTTAGAAATGTCTTGTTCATAAACACAGAATTAACAGCATATTGTTTCAAATCTTGTAATGACATTGACATTCCACGATATGTTTCGCCTGTAAATCCGAAACTTTGAAACACAGGATGAAACATCATGATTGATGCAAGATTTCGCTCATGTTTGGTTCCAGACCAATGCGTAGGCATCTGAGACAGATCCATGTTAACTCGACGATAAAAACCAGTCTCTGCTGTATAAGCACGAACAACCTGTGTGGGATCCTTGTGTTCAATTGCTTCATCAATGAATAGACGAACTTCTTCAATATGTTTTACATCAGTCAATGGACCGTTCTCGTTGATATAGTACTGCCGAATGCCACGGCATAAGCGATCAAATTCTTCGTCGGTTTGGCACTTCCATAAACTTTTACGATTGAAGGAAGCATAGCTCGAAGGATCACTTTCGACGAAGATCCATTCAAATGATGGACCCTTTTCAGCTGCGAATCGACTTTTTGATTCAGTTCCAGCTCTATCCTGGCGTTTAAATAATTTTTTGATATCTTTGGTTTTTGCTTCTTCGTAAGGTATACAACCATGAATATTTTTTATCGTGCGTTGTGCACCTTTTGCTAAAAGCATCTTAACTATTTCGTAATTTCCGTAGTAGGCAGCGGCATGTAGAGCCGTGGATCCATTTGGTTCAATTTGATTAATCTCTTTGAGTGTAAGCGTGTGTAGTAATCTATTAGCTTCATCGATATCGTTGTTTCGACAATTATAATAAAAGTTGCTTGATTTTGTGACTGCCGACGAATTGCTGGCAGAATCTTTGGCAGCAGGTACAGCGGTATCTGTCAACTTTTTTGATTTGATACTTTCATGTGGATGCGACTTTGATGACGAAGCTCCTACGCTACTTGGCTTTGAAGTTGTGGATGTGTGTGTTGGTTTAACCTTAGAAATACTCGAGGCACCGGTTTTAGGCTTTGCCTTTGCTGTAGACATATTATTGTCGATGACTGTGCATGAAGAAGTAAAAAATAATTACATAATCCTGATTACTTTGATAGCTTCTAGTTATATCTTTAACGCTAACGAGAGAATATTCCCAGGTGTCTAAATACTTTTTAGTCAGAGTCTCACAAATCTTTTAGCTCTTATTGAACTGTCTGATGTAATAAAAAAATCGAGTTTTGACCTGTTTCGGAGTAGATCGAGCGAATTCTAATGAATTTATCGTTAGTACCTGCTATTTGCTGTAAAGTAGTATAGTCGAATTTATACCTGAATATTTAGTTAAATACAAATATCATTGAAATGACAGCGCATAAAAAATTTCAGAATTTTCGGAAAATGTTTCCTCCAAGTGCAGATCTTTCAAAAAAACCAATTCCTGTTGTAGATACTATCGATCAAGAACAGTTTATACTATGAAAGTTTCATCACTCAATTTGTAATGCACACTCGTTTTCATGATATTTATCTGTAGCTTAAGTTTCAACTAGAAATTTGGCAATATCATCTGTTTGCAAGTGCTGTGCCTTATAGGGAAACCTCGTTAAGATTCACTTGATCACCTCAATAACAAGTCAAAAACATGAACACCTATTTTGATAGGCACAGCTCAATCATGACTGCGACATGTAAAAAGCTTTTAGTAAAATGTGCTCTGACACCTGGTGATATTCCCTTGTGAGTTTACTCTTTTTTCATGCGGTTATTGTTTTACTTAAACGCCATGAGGATGCATTATGGACGACTATTGTGACAATATGCGTTTGAAGCAATTGAATATGAAGACGGGTGAGTGATGCAAGTTATGCATGCTGATATTGAGAGACGCTCTCTTGTTGGCTAACTTTATCCGCATATTTTTCAAAAATTTATCATGGCCAGCGATAAATAGATCCGTGAGCACGAATCGATAATTTTTGGATTCGAATTACGTTACTCTGAATAATAAAAAAAGCATATCGAAATCTTAATACACACAATACTGGCATATATCCTGCTTCTAATAGCTTACTGTCCAATTCGAACAATAGCCATTTTCATGCTAGGTTTCGTATGCAGATTTCAGTATTTTGTTGTAAAAATTTTAATCAACAAAATTTAAGATTTAAAAAAATGCAGTACTTGAATCTCGCATTCTATTTAAATTTGCGAAACAAATATCTACTGATCAGGCTTTAGTTAAAGAATGTTGGATCTTATGAAATGTAACGCTCCGAAAAATAAGACCAAATTTACACTCACCTTTATATTGGCTTGATGTTTTATGATCTTATCAGTTGTATGACTGCGCAGAAAATATAAGATGGGTATTATAAATGAAAACTTTTTATCGCATACTCGATGCATATAAGTCACCCAACTTGGTCGCAATATCGACAGTAAATTTTACAGAGAGCGATCACACGATTGTTTTATTTCAAAATAAAGTTGAAAAGGACGTTAAAATGTAATGATATTTACATAGTCAGCGAATCCATAAGAAACAGTCACATGTACCTGAGAAATTGCAAGTTGGAAATAAAATCTGACACTGGTTTTCATGATGGCATAACGAAGTGTAAATGACGACAAAGAATATGATTTCATCTTGTATTTATTGTTGATTTCCTATTTCAAAGAAAATTTCACAATTCTATTAGTAAGGAGACTAGTGTCTCATATCGCCAAGATATAGTGAATCTAACAAAGGTTGTTCGCGGTTTTGATCGTGTGGCCAAGAAGCTTTTCGAAATAGTGATTATTGCTGTTCAGGTGTTGAATACTTCAATCCATTGTTCAATCGTGTATATATGAAGACTAAGTCTGACGTGAGAATAATAATGTGATTAAATAAAATCGCACTATTTGAAAAAATATAATGATTATATCTTCACAATTGGCGTCTTCCTATCAAAACACCCACACTCAAGCAAAACATATCGATATACATGCATCAAAGAAAGATTATTTATTTCAAAAAACACTGTAAACTTCAATTTCATTTGACAATTTGAACTAGCAATATAAATACGATGGAGTCATTTTTAGTTCACGGCGTAATACGAGTTCGATTTTGCAATTATCTCAACTGTTTCATTAATAGCGAAATATGCAACTGAAGTATTCGAGATCATTTGAAGTCCATTATTTCTCCAATACTCGACATCTCCAAACAATTCCAACCGTTTACGAGCTGCATCAACACAATCTTGAGCGTGCGAATGTGAGTGTACGAGTATTGGTGTATAGACCCTGCATTCTTCCGCTCACACCCATACCCGTTTCTATTCATTTTTTTTCGCATTTAAATGCACCAATGCTGGAACAATATTCTTTTACTTTTTGTGTTGTTGAATTGTTTTATTAGTCGTATGTCATCACATACCTCGCAGCCCCGTGATATCACTATGGTTGAAAAGATCGAGTGACATAAAGGTATGAATGTCACACGACTGATATTGATAACCATGATGACAAATGCTATAAAATGCAAACGAGTATTCTGAAATTCATATACAAATCTGTGTTTTACATTGTATTAACAAATGCGCCCAATGGATCAATTTTTCGGAACATTGTAAGGCGCAGGATTAGGTTTATTCACGACTACAGTTATCGATGTTGCAGATCATCAACATCAAAACAAAAAAACGATCATCTACGTTGACTTCAGAAGTTCGTGATTAACAAAATACAGTAGAATCATTCAGTCGCACTCTGGCTACATCATCATTGAGCGTGATTCCGCTCAAAGATCATTCGCTTGCAATTCTTATTAGTGCAAGCTCAGAAGAATTCGACAAATTTGTGAACGTCTGGTCAATATTGCATTTCAAACTAGTCAGTCATTTCTGAGTATGTTAGGTACTTGTGCAAATATCGGTAATTATTTACGGAAGAAATTCACCAAAAGATATCCTACTGAATACTTTCACATAATTATCGGGCCAATTCATACTTTAGACTTTGCAGAGGATGATGCTGTCTATCTTGCGGAAATCGAGCAAGATCAATATCGAGTATTGATCTTTACAATCAAGCAAGATGTTCACAGCAAATTCGATACACACGATGCTAATAGTTCAATGCTAATCAGCTGGAATCTCATCACAAGCGGAAGCTCAAATAAATAAATGTTTTCGCTCAGAAAGCATGACTTTTCGTTTTTTTTAATTTCGTGTAACTCAATATTCTATGAAGTTTCTTTGGAAAATGAATTGATTGTTGGTATCTTCGATTTGTACGCAATCTAAAATGAGAACTTCTAGATTAAAAAATCGTCTCTTAACTGAACATAGTTGCAATAGAATCTGAAAGAGTGGTTGAAAATCTTTCGAAACATGATCATGAAATCAAATTGTTCTCCTTTTCTCACTGTAAATATTTTCATAAAATAAAAACTAATGTACTATTGAATTGTGACTCTTTAAATTCTGCTTGATCGAATCTAGCATCTGATAAACTTATTTACTTGGTAAGAATCGTAAAATTGAAAATTAACATGCGTGAATATTATTTAAGAGAAATCGAAGTGAATTGAATCAGCAAGATGCAGTCGGAAGCATAAGAGCATACTATTGGCTTCATGAATTTCAAAGTTTTTTACTCCCTTAATATGAATAAAGCCAATATTTGCATTTTGCTATTATTTTCAATTGAAACTAAGAACAAAAACAAAGAAAACGGAGAATTTGGGACATTGCATGTGCTGCTAGATATCTTTGGGTGTTTGATAAATCAAAGGTTGCTTCTTAAAAATTCTTTTCGGATGACTTTTATGGTGAAAATTACTCGTGTTTATACTTTTGATATTTATTGAAAAGACGTGAGTACGCTTAAACTGAAATCTTAATAGAAGCTTTGGTGTTTGTTTTAGACGTCTTTTTTTCTTTTCATCTCTTCTCTGTTTTCAAGAGAATATAAAAAATAAAATCAAGTGAAACCTTAAAAATATTTAGCTATCAGAGATGAATAAACAAAGCTCGGTCACTCTGAATGTTGAAAATAAATAAAACGATGTCCATATCCTCCCTGTTTCAGGTGTTCGAGATATAGAAAGATTTTTTATTAACTACATAGATTTAAAAAATGATCACGAATCGTAATCTAATCGTATTGCTTGCATTTTCTTTTGTTCCACTGATTAATATTTGTGAAGCAGTCAGTACTAAAATGCCAGCAATTTACTATGGTAATCAAGGCTGGGCTATGAACGACATTCAATCTTTTTCATCATGGGTCGGCAAACATCCAATAGTGATATTACTGTTTACTGATTGGTGTAATGGATCAATGTATAATTTGTTCAATTATCAATTAAAAAATATATGGGGTAATGGAAGTATTCCAGCAATCACATGGGAAGCTTTTAAGTGTGGTGGTAGCAGTCAACCGGGTATAATGAGCCTAGTTCGAAATCATACTTACGATACATATATAAATCAATTTGGGGACTATTTGGCAGCATGGCTCGCCGGCATGGATGGTGTTTTAGGAAATAGTGATGACCGAAGAGCTTATCTACGATTGGGTATGTTCGACATTCTAAAATTTGTAACATATATCGTTCGATTTAGAAACAGCATCATAATTATAACGAATTTTCAATCATTCTATTCAATCTTTATTCTTAGAGATATATCGAGAATGATTAGATTCGAGAAACCAATTTCTGAGTCTCTAAACCAGAGTTCTATTTATTTTGACTTGCGCATGTTAATGATTGTACTACATTGTCAGCTATTTCTATATTTTCTTTAATTGATACTTTGATGGAATAAACATCGATTGAGCTATGATCATTTTTTGTTCGGATGATTTTAGCTCATGAAATGAATGGGAATTGGTATCCGTGGTCGATTGGTTCAACTCCACAAGATTACGTTTGGGTATGGCATTATATACATGATTTATTCGTGAATAAAAGTTTAGATTCGACAAGACTTCAATGGATTTGGTGCGTGAATAATGTTGATGTTGGTAGTTACACAGCTGAAAATTATTGGGTTGGAGAACATTATGTTGATTGGATGGGAATTGATGGTTATAATATTGGTACAAGTCAAAGTTGGAGTTCCTGGTTAAATCCAAATCAAATATTCGATAGTATGATTGCAAGATTACAAAATTTATCTTCAACAAAACCGATATGTATTAACGAATATGCTTCTACAAGTTTAGTCACAGGAAACATATCAAATATAACAGCGAAATATGATTGGCTTCAACAATTCTGTACATATATCAATAATAAACAAATTATAATGACTTCATATTTCAACATAGATAAAGAGACTGATTGGGCAATATTCGGTGGCGTTCGGGGAGATAGTTTCTTTGGTAACCACAGTGCCTACACTGCATATCGAGATTGCCTTCAATCTAATGATTGGATAATAATCAATAGTACAAATCCAAGACTTATTAGTGATGAAGAATTCTCTGGTACAGGTAAGTGTAATTGAAATACACGGAAGCAGAGACTAAATCGATGTGAAATAAGATTTGTCTTAGAAAAAAATTGTGGAAAGAAATAAAATTCATTTCATACGTCTCAACTGAGACATGCTAAGGTAAAGAGGAAGCTTTATAATATTGTCATTGTATATAATTTGAAACTCATTAAATATCATCTTTCAAAACTATGACAAATAGCTACTGAAGGTTATAGTAAATCTTGACTTTGAGATTCTATCGTTAGCTTCCACTACGCACATCTTTAGTGTTGAGAGAGAAAAAACTGTTTAAATATTTATCCGACTAATGCTATCAAGATTTCCGGCAACAAAAGTTATTTCATACATTTCCCTGACATTCATACCGAGAACAAGTCACCTAAAAACAAATCTTAAGGTCCAATTAGGTAAATAGACATGATAATAACTGGCAAATAGTCAATAGTAGTTGGATATTGTAAATAATCAAAATCTGAATAGTTTGTCATCAAAAAGCTTCAATGGTTGATTACTCACCTTGCACACATCTCTCATGTGAAATTTATTGCTTTAGTATTGAATACCACAAGTACAACAATAATGGTATCAACTACTACTACTTCTTTAACAAACGGTACAACATCAGGTACTAATAGAAAACTTAACGATACAATATTCTGCTGATTTCTGTGTTACTTCATCCTATAGATACAGTATCAAGTACTTTGGCAACCATCGGACCAACTACACAGACAAGTAAGAAGCTTTTCCTAAATGAATTACGGAAGATGAGGTCTGAAACATGGGAAGAAAAATAATATTTTTAATGTTGATTTCTTGCCAAAACTATCCAGTCGAGACCTGTATTTGATTGTGTTCTTAATTTTAATTGTTCGATCTTTTCATGATTGCGTAGCTCTCGTTACAACAGCAAACATATCAATAAATTCGACCATCGTTGTAATGCTCACAACATCTGTAATTACAACGACAGATTCTACTTCAACTGCTGTAGCAATCATATTTCAATGTGGTATTGCAAGTCAAAACTGGTTGGCAATGCTCATTTTTATGATCAAGATCTTTTTAAACAATTAATTCACTTTTCATCTTCTAATTGAACACTTGTTTACGTGACACTATTACATAACAAAACCTAAGAAACTATTAATACTTTCCAGTTTTGTTCTTGAGAATCCAGAACACAAAGCAACTCTTTGTGTAAAGACTGAACTAAGCTTTTTAAACTTCGCCTTGTGTTTCAAATTGAATAAGAACGAATAAAAAATTACAAGTATCTTAGATATTGAATACGAATTTTTAAATTAAATTACAATCGAAAACTGATCATAAGTACTTTTGTCGTGTTCAAGCAAATACTCGTAGTGTAAGCGCCTTTGTATTTTATCGGTCGAGACGGTCAAACGTCCATATCCGTATTCTAACAGACGTGATATACTCCACCATGGCTGTGGCTCTACCCATTTATCTTTGCATAATGCTCCACCAGTTCCTTGTACCACAATGACAGGCGAAGGAGCATTGATGTATGTATTATTAACGATGGCTGTCGTGTTGTCGTAGAATATTCGTTCGTATGCGTGCATATGACCTGTTATAATCAATTGAACTCGATTCTCAACAAAGAGAGGATAGACCATTTGAAATAGAGTCGAGTTGGGTAAGTGTTGACTAAAATTAAATGATTCATTCGAGAGAATATTTGTAGAAAAAGAATCCGAACATACTCTAGTTCGTTATCAAGTGATGACAATAAGGGTCTATGTGTTACAACAATGATGAATGGTTGTTGTATCCTGCTTTTCGCAGCCTGAGCGAGATCGTTGACGAGCCATGAATATTGTGGACCATCTTTAGCATAGTAATGCTGAAAATAGAAAATAGAAATCAAATTCAGTCTCGTCCTACACTTGATCAGTAGGACTAAAACCCATCCACTACTATAACTGTTGAATGAGACAATAAGGGTCAACATATTGTTCCAAAACGAGGTATATCACAAAAAAATACCAGCGGCAACCAACCTGTGAACTCATCGAGATCCAATGAATCGGGCCAGTATTAAAGCTAAACCAGAAGTTGTCAAGACCACTACTTTCTGGACCTGGCATGCGGAATCGGTTACGGTAGACTGTAAAATTGTAATAGGCCTCATGATTACCCACATTGGTCATATACGGCACTATAGATGCGATTGGCTCTACTTGAGTGCCCCATAAATCCCAAATTTCCTAGAATAACAAGACAGAAATGGAAGTATAGATCATTTGCTGTCTTTTTCGACTCACTGCTATTTCTTCCTTCGCGCCATTACCAGCATAGCTAATATCACCCACGTGAACAACAGCCGAAAATGGTGTAATATGATGATCCTCTTTGATCTGCTTAGCCACAAGGAAACCGGCAGGGATGACAGTACCCATATCACCCATGACAGCATATGTGCGTGTCGTGGTGGTAAGGCAGTCTGTTTTGAAGCTATTCTCGTGTGACCAGACTTTGGAGTTTCCAACTCTGAACAGATAAAGAATGATTTCAACCAATGAAATTTCAACGTATTCTATATTACCTATAATAAAATGTTTGGCATTGGTTTAAATTCGTCATCCAAGCTTCATAGATGGTTCCTTTCCATCCTCCGATTCCGACGTTATACGTGCGGTTTGTCGCCTTTTGTTCATAGATATAGCTGCCACTAACATTTCCGTATTGTACGTATGATAGTGGATGTTGTTGTTCACTCTCAGTGCCTTTCACGATCCATATAACTATCATAGTCGACCAAGATCCATCAGCAAGCAGAGATAGATGAATTTGCTAAAGAGAAGCAGTAAGAGATATTCAACAACAACATTTGAGTGTAAACTACGAACCTGTGGAACCCCCTTTTCAGGAAGACTATCAAGTTCAGCATAGGTTTCTCGAAATTGTTCCCAAGAAATACTGTAAGACTCTACTTCTTCGTTGTTTGTCACTTGTTTCATAACACTCTTCATGATATGAACTAAATGTTGTGGTTCGGCGACGGGATCTTCTGGCTCGATATCATGAAAGAAATGCTGTAACTCATATACATCAAGTTCATCGTTGTTGTTCAAATCAATGTGCTGAAAGAATAACCGAAGCAGAGACTCTTCGACTGCAAAAGAGAAAATGCTTCGACAGATAATCAAGATAAAATAAAAGCATACCATGCATGAAATGCCTAGCATATATTACTTCCATCATCAAAAACGAGAATACGAAGTATGCAACTAGATTCATATCTTGAAATCACAGACAACTACCGATAATTCAGAAAATCTAAACGTTTATAGACATGAATGATAGAATAAAGTTTGCGTTAGTCAGAGTAAAAAAGTATTTCGAACGATGAGAGTGGCTAGATCTGAATAATTCATGAGTAGGAAAGTGTCTCTGAACGTGGTTTCCAATCTGAATTGAGCAAGTTTTCTAAAGTGTTACAATTTAATTTGTCTATGAAAGTATAAGAAAAAATTGGATATTTCAATGTAGTAACATATCAGACACTACCTTATCAGCGTGCTTATCTGATAAGCTCTCACTTTTTCTATAGCATTGGAGAGAAATTAAAAGAGAAATATTAGTCGATTACAACACTGAAAAAAGAATGCTACTGATTATTTTAATTTTTGTTGCTATCAGCCCCTCGTGTTGTTACTCGATAAAATTCGATAAACGTAAGTTGCGAATAATTCTTCTCAAAGCTGTCTCAAAAAGGAATTAATGTAATATACATCCAGAAGATCTTTCATTAATCTTATGAATATAATTGTGATGGTTCAGATATAATTTTGTGAGAAACATTTCAAATTCACTAAGAACCATTCAATGAGAATCCTTGTAACAACCTTTTTCACTAATTTTGTCAGTTTTACAGATACTACTATTTAGAGTCATGCGATAGCATATATTCGTATAAAAAAATCTTTCATAAGGATTGAAGTTGTTTCTAACATCGGTGATGGTGAATTATGCTATTACTATTATTGTTGGTATATAATCGAAGACGTTATCTCAACGTGGTTCTCATTCATACACAACCGGTTTTATGCATATAAATATCGAAACACTTCATAATTGTAAATGTATTCGTTATTTTATTTCAATGAAAAAGAGACTAGAAAATATGGTCAATTTACTAATTATTATGTTTCAAATGAACATGTAAAACATTTTGTTCTACTGCCATGATATCGTGAGGAAGACGATTATTTTTTTTTCGTTGTCAAGAAGAAATTATTGTTTCCTATTTTCCAAACGATAACAATAATAAGCACGGAAAAGTGGAGAACTGATAGTCTACCATTATCCGCAGAGTAGCCAATGGTGAATTATACATGATTACAAAGAATGAAATATGAGTGTGCAAAAAACACCCACACTTGAGAGTATTTAAAAAAGGATACGCTGGTACATTTTAATATGCAACGTGATCATGAGAATGTTCATATGAACATCCATTGATCTAATAACAAATTTATGATTCTAATGCAATCAGATCACTTAAAGTTTCTAGTGGCGGAAATATGAGTAAAAACAATATTATTTTTTAAATTTATTCTATTAGTGTTAATCTTTTCATTTGACAATAAAAACAGCAGAAGAACCAATATCAACAATTCTGTATTGTTGGCTTGATTTTTGACGCATCAACACCCATGTTTACCAGTATTGCTTGTAGTTCGTTCAATATCGAAGGTGATAACGTTTTTGTTCGTCTTAAACAGATAAACAAAAAATGTCCGTACTGTTCAATTAACAAAGCTTTTTTCTACTTACGATAGAATCCAAATTAATTCAGATTTAACATTGAGCACTGGTAGGATATGACAAGAGTACACGAGGGAATAATCGACATAATTTGAAGTGATAACATTGTAGTCGCCTTTTGGAACTGTTAAAAACGATCACAATATTGAATTAAAAAGAAAAGAATGATAGTGCAATAATTACTAGGTTTGGGAAAGTCAAGCTCGAAAGCTGCAGGTTCTGAAGCATTTTTAACTTTAGCTGTGCCCAAAATACTTTCATATGTACCAAAAAAGTTATGTGCTTGATTCTGTACACCTACTGATCCATCGTCATTTTTCGTGTATGTTGCATTAGAACAAGTGTAACCAATTTCGAAGAAGTTTTCATTTCTATATGCTTCATACCAAAAACCAAAATACTACATAGTATAAAATTACCAAAATAAAAGTCTTTGTAGAAGCATATAAATACAGTATATCATCTCACCTTGCTTATATCAAAATCCTTTTGTGTGATAATCTTCGGACATTCATTTGCCGAGAAAGCACAAGAAATTGAGAAAATTATAATTGCTACTGTTGAAAATGACATAATCACGATATCAACACTAATATACTAGTCTGGTTCCTACATTTATAGCATCTTATATAGTACAAGACAATTCGAGACTGAAGTTATATAATCATATAAAAAAACATTGAGTATCAGGGCACTACAAAGCAATTATTTTAACAAGATAGCAGAAGTACAGCGAGAATCAACAACACATGCTGAAGAACAGAAATAATCGCACCGAAAATCAATAGTATTCTCTTTAACAAATAGTCAATACTGTCTTATATAACAAATTTGATCAAATTGACAAACGGGAAGATACTCAGATGGACCAAAGTACTCTGTTAAAAAAAATCAGATCCTATTTGATTACTAATTATATGAGTCTTTGTCGAAATGTTTCTTAGATGAAGAACTGTAGAATATGCTAAAAGTGTGAGCATGAATGTTCTCCTGTTCCACATTGAGTGGACTTACGTTAAACTCAAATGCAGCATATCTGTGCACTTTCATATCGGTTGTCATTATTTTTCCTATGAATACGTTAATATATACAATTAAACACGGACAAGATATGAACAATCCTGCTGTTTTTATAATCGAACAACTCATAGTGAATAATTCATTAGAAAAAATACCACTTTGACAAAAAAATTATTTAGAAAAATCAGCATGATTGATATTGTTATATAAGACATATCACCTATTTTCTTATGTATTTCTCTCTTACTGATTTTCGTTGTTTCTTGTTTTATGTAAAATTATGTTTTCAGTGTCACTTTACACTTCTTTGCTCCTCAAAGTACAATGATTCATTACTCGAATATTTTTATATTAAACTTCAACGAAATCGACTGCTGAAATAGATGAATCTGTTTGCTAGTTGATTAACGTACATCCCCTCCACACACCTATATCTGAGTGAAAACTATGAAAATAAACCAGGTTATGAATACTTGTGTTTCTTCCCGAAATTCATCAATCTTTTATTGCAATATGAAATAAAAGGAGACAAAATGTTACTGTCAAATGATTATGCCAGTGAGTCATGCACAGGTTTTCTTCCAACAAGCTACTCGAAAAAGAATATTTTGTCATTTGTGATGGCGTCATGTGCGTTGGAAAAAAATTCTACTGTTTGCAGTGGTTGTCACAATTCTGTATTTCATACCATAAGTATTGTTTTTTCTGAATAATCAGTCATATCGTATTGTGCGATAGAAACGAGATTTAGATAATTTTATTCTAGATAAACATTTACTGCAAGTACGAATACTATGGCGACCAGTGAGTAATCAATAGATGATTTGGATGAATACAAATATTTTCATAATCGCGCTATTGAAATAGACTCAAATTCGGCGACAGCAAATTCTAGTAATTTAGATACACGAGTGGCAAGAATTCAGCGAAGTCGTTCAGATAAAATTAACATGAAACATAAGTATATAGTTGTTGCATTATTTTAGTGACCGATCAATTACATGGTTACCTTGGAATTCTTCTATCTGCCTTCGAAGAAGAAGGACCCCGTGTATTAGAGTCATTTGATTTACCTGGTGCTGCTGAATACATGAGTAAATGCTCAAACGTTGTTGTCATGTGTGGTGCCAGTATATCAACTAGCGCCGGTATACTGGATTTTCGTTCACCTGGCACTGAGCTCTATTCCAAATTAGAGAAATGCAATTTGCCATTTCCCGAAGCAATATTTCAATTGGACTTTTTTCGTGTGTGTTGTATACTTGAATTGAATTCTCTTGCATTTTAGCTTAGTATTCTTCCGTATCTTATCTATTTATATATCGTAGGAGAATCCAAAACCATTCTTCGTGTTGGCTAAAGAACTGTATCCAAATAAGTTTAACGTAAGTCGAAAAGGCGCGAAATTTTTGCATGAAATCAAACTATTCGATAACGAAATTTTATCGTTAAGCCAACATCGACTCATTACTTCATTCGACTATTGAATGAGAAAGGCAAACTACTACGTACATTCACAGAGGTATGTTCTAATGAAACTCCTTTTATGCCCTATTTCAAGATGGAATAGAATGGCTAATCGATAATTGGATTGACTTTCTAGAATATCGACTCATTAGAACGCATTGCTAATGTACCAACGGAGAAAATTGTCGAAGCTAATGGGACGTTTTTTACTGCACATTGTTTGGATTGTCAAGAGGAATACTCATTAGAGCAAATTAAAGGTCTATCATTAATCTAAGCCGATAATTTCTTGAGAATGATTAGAATTTGTAATCAAAATCAAAATTCCTCGGGGTGTGAAATGGCAACATTGATAAAGATTTTTATTTTTTTATTTAGACACTATTTTTAAAGATGAAATCCCATATTGCAATAAGTGTACCGGAGTTATTAAACCGGGTAATTTTTTCTGGTGATTATTTTGATTCTTTGTTCAATAATTCGTTTTGTTTTAGATATAGTCTTTTCCAATGAAAATCTACCAAAACGATATGATGAATGTGTTAAAAGTGTAAATGAAATTTTGAAAATCGATTTCATTCATTTCAATAACTTATTTTATAAATAGGACTTTGCCAAATGTGATTTTCTCATTATTATCGGCACTTCACTAGCAGTAGCACCATTATGTACTCTCATTTCACAGTAAAATAATATAGAAATCATTTCGTATCGTTGAATATTGACCAATGATCGAATTCGATTTTAGTGTTGATAATAATTGTCCTCGACTATTGATCAATATGGAACCAGGTGGTCATACATTTTCATATCTGATACCTGTAAGTAATAAATTATTGTTATAGTGAGAAATATAAAATTAGAGTATAACATCTAATGTTCAAATTCATCAATTTAGTTTGGAACTACGTTGATGTTCAATTCGCGAAAAAATCGTCGTGATGTCTTTTATAAAAGTACTTGTGACGATGGAGTAATGCAACTAGTAAAATTATTAGGTTGGGAGGTAAGATGAATTTTTAATTTTTACAGAAACCTATCCTACGAACGAACATTTGACACCTTTTCTTCTAGAGTGATTTCAAAAAATTACTACAAAAAGAAGGCATATCGATCTCATCAGTATCAGAGAAATCTACTACTTCTTCTAGAACGAATGTTTCATCGACAAAGACAACTACTGCGGCTGATTCTACTGTCCCGAAGCATCCAAAATTCACTTCGACAAAGAAAACAGTCGATGCTACTTCATCAAAAAGTGAAGTGAAAGATAATGCCAAATAAGAGATTGAATTAATCGTCTCAAGAAATATCAAGTGTAATGAACGTTTTTTTTATTTTAAAAGATTATATTTGTTGTTTCTTATTTTCGATTCAAGTTTTCATTGAGATCGATGGATTAAATCTGCAGAATGCACATTCACGTTTTACTTGTGTGTGGATGTGTCCGGTTTAGCGTTTAACTGCTGAACGGATATATGAAAAAGAACTGTAGCAGCACTTACACTCAACCGTCGTTTGATATAGTTGATTCTTAAAATCGTATTTTATTAGATCCTATTGAAATTCGATTGTATATTGAGAGATCGAATGCGTGAATTTTTCGGGATTCAACACTACTTCACAGGACTCTAGTTCCAAACGAGTGAGTCAGATCTGAACTGTTTCTACAGTGGCAAGGGTATGAGAGGTTCCGTAATTTGTTCATTCTCTTCGCATACATATATACCGACATTCGCATCTACAAACGCTAAGTAAATGAAGCACATCGATTTCTCTTAGATTCATTTTTTTTAGAATCAACGCTTGCAATGCATTCGGTATCCATGTGTCAGTTGATTTTGTGCTTCGAAGCTTTCATTACAATCAATGAAAGAGTCAAAAGAACAGCTTATTTACTTAGTCACATCATTTCATCACCATGAAAGCAGAAATTTTCTTCCGAAGAAGTAGAAGCACGTGTGAATCGATCGAATACACGTTGTGGTAGCTTACAATGTACCTGACGTTTTACTGTAATGGGAAGCAAAAGTAGGTTGTAATATCTCGCGTGTCAAACTTACATTTGATGATCTCTTTCTCATACGAAAGATTCAAAAATTGCTGTTAATATTAATCAACAAAAAATTTAAAAAAATAATATTATCGAACGTTTCGGTAGTCTACGGTTAAATGACAGATCTCGGTTTGCTCTACTCCAATAATCGCATTATTCCGAACAACTCCAGGTTTTGTAAGAATACTTATACGATTTTTCGAAGCTTCCTTTGATTTTAATTATTAAATCTATGATTCACCAGCAAATGTCAAATTTATCATTGTACTTGAAGGTCAAGATGCAAAAGATATAATTAGAACTACACACTGTCTCTGCCCTGTTAAAGTAATTCTCATGGTGAATCTCGTAAAAACAAGTACTGATGATCAACAATGTTAATTGATCATTCATTTAGGTGAAACATATCAATTTAAATAAAGTAGTCAATATAATTCATCTATTTGAACTGCATTTCTTTCGTAGTACTACATATTTTCAAGGAACATCAAGCGCCAGAACTTTCTAAAACTAAAATGAACAGGAGATTCCTGTTTACTAAATTATTTCTCGATATTCTCCTTCGAACGGAGTCAAAGATTAATGATAAATATGAATTAGTTGCTCGATTTACCGAAGAATTTGCCATAATTTGCCAATAATTTGATGGAACTCAGAAAACTGAATTTTTTTATCTAGACTTCAAACTAGAGAAAGTCTTTGAATGGTATACAAAAGCTGTGTATGTCTATCGTTTACTGAATGAACATCTGCGTACTCAACACATCGATTTGCTTTTTCTGTTTCGTTTGTTTCTAAGAGATATGAAAGCTCAGATTGTGATCTATCAGGAACAATCAGTTATTCATGTTTATCGTGGTTAACGACTGTCAAACGATGAATGAGAAAATTTACTCAAAGGAGTGCATGACAAATCTTAGTGATAGTATCATTGGGATTTTCCAAAAAAAACAGTCACCTATCCACATATAGATAGATCGATAGGTAGATAGATACGTAGATAAATAGATAGATAGATAAATAGATAAATGGGTAGATCGAAGGGTCACGGTAATGATCACGGTCACGGTAGGTATCTGTGACGGCACGGTTTTCAATCACGGTAACTGATTGATTTTCAGCCTATCGTGGCACCCACAGTTAAGATGTTATGTATGTGTGTACACGTTGTTTTAAGCCTTTCGTGGCACCCACAGTTAAGATGTTATGTATGTGTGTACACGTTGTTTTAAGCCTTTCGTGGCACCCACGCCCACACCCTCTGGTAAATACGTGTAGACCCTGGTAGATGCATGCAGACCCTGATAGACCTTCTAGACCCTGGTAGATACATGTAGAGCCTGGTAGATATCTGTAGAAATTTAGTTTTAGCTCTGAATTATATTGTAATTCATTTGCGTCATCCAGTGACTCAAAGCGAAAAATCACTTAATTTCAATGAGTTCGTTTCTTTCAGCTAATCTTAAACTTAATTTTGTCAACCTTGATCTCGATGTAAATAGTTGTGATGGTGAAGTGAAGTTATTATTAGAAATTACTGCTGATCCGAAGCATGCGGGTGATGTACTAGCCGATGCTAACATATCGCAAGATTTAGTCAATATTCAGAAGAAGGAGAAGTGCTTTTTATGACTGGCAGTATTTTGTTATGTTACAGATGCGATTAATGGAGATTTATTTTTAACAGTTACATTAGAGCTATCTACTGAAGTACCTAAGGATTTGAAACCAATTTGTGAGATATTAACGAATGAATACGGCGATGAGCAAATCGGAAAATCGAGGGGAATAAGTTTCAATTCTCTTGACATTATTCTATTCAATTTGCAGAGATAGGTGTGAGTGCGGGTGTGGGTGTGAATATTAATTCTACTCGCACTCAACCACACCCTTCTTCTATTCGCAGCGTCATGCTTTTAACACAATTTACACACATTAGTCGATACAACGACAAACAATATGTCCTGCATCACAACAAGCGCGTGCATCTAATCCTCCTATTCGATAATCGACTTTTGTGCGCGGCGTTAAGGCAATATCTTTTAACTTTGCTTGTAATGCTTGATCAATTGCATCGTGCACTGACTGTGAAACTTCTATTGGAGTGGATTCAGCTAAATCACGGCTAAGATCAAAAATTAGTGGTGGCTTATGAGGAATGATCAAGCCTTCTTTGCCACCACATGCTCCGTCAATTGCAGGATATGTCACGTAATAAGCTTTATATTGATTATAACGGACTGCTGAAAGTATACCAAGCATATCTGGATGAAATAGATATTCATGACCTTGGTCGGAACCATCAAAAAGTACTGCACTGAGATCAATTCCATCAAAGCTACGGTTCGACGGTAAAGTAAAATTAGCAAGATTCGCAATAGTTGGCATAATATCCAAGTGTGACCCAATGACATTAGATACAGTATTCGGCTTGATCATATTTGGCCAATGTGCAATGAATGGCACACGATGTCCTGCCTCCCATGTTGTGAATTTTGCTGTGCCACCTCCTCCTCCTCCAAAAGGCAATGGTGACGCTTGCCAAACACCTGTAAAGGGTCCTTGATTTCCTGCTAAATCACATTTTGATGACCACGGTCCGTTGTCACTGGTAAATATCAGCAGTGTTTGGTTTAAGATTCCTAAATCTTTTAATAGTTGATATGTTTGATTGACATGATAATCTAATTCTCGTAGTGTATCACCATACACACTTGGTAAAACACTTGTATCTTTGAATTGTCGTGCATAATCATGTGGTACATGCATGTGTGATAAGGGTAAATATAGAAAGAATGGTTGCTTTGATTCTACACTACGTTGAATAAATCGTCGATCATTATCAATATACGATTGTGTTAAAGTTGAAAGATTAACTGGTTGTTCAATAATTTCTTTATTACAGTTATCATTAAGACACCGAGGTGTAAGACATTGATACAGTGGTATACCAACTGTTAAATCAGCTTCAATAACTTTTCTTAGATCATCAGGATGTTCATGCTTTTGTTCAAAATAAAGAGAAGGATCTTTAGGACAAACATTGACAGGGGGATAATTAGCTCCAGGATTATCTGTGCAACCCATATCGATACTATATGGAACGCCGATATACTCATCGAATCCTCGGTATGAAGGATGAAACGGAGGTGTATGTCCAAGATGCCATTTACCATGAATAGCAGTTGCATAACCGACACTTTTTAAACATTCTGAAATGATAGTCTCATTAACAGGCAGTCCACCAAGGGCAGTTGAAGCAAAATTTGCCCAAACACCCGTACGGGGAGTTAATCGTCCAGTTAATAGAGCTGCTCGACTAACACTGCAGACTGAAGCTCCACTGTGATAATCTGGCAAGCGAATACTTATGGAAGCTAAATAATCAAGAAATGGAGTATCGCGTGTATTTGGCCAATTCGCACCCAAATCACCCCAGCCCATATCATCGGCCATTATCAATACAATATTGGGACGAGAGCCAGTCAAACGTTGTGACAAAGGAGCAGCATGGGAAGTAACGCATGTTAGTAAAGGTAAACCTAGCCATAATGAAGTAAAGCTTAGCAGTAGTGATGTAACGAGAAGAATCATCGCTTTATATTTTAGCTAAAGCGTGTAATAAGTGATAAAGTAATGTCTTGCAAAAAATGAATAGCAACATATTTACTTTGTGCTATTATCATTTTCACCTTCAATCTAGATAAGTAAAATACAACAGAATAAAGGTGTCAGAAAGAAAGCGCTTTTTGGCAGCAGGTGAAGATTTTTTCTCTAAAGATCTTGGAGTGTCTTGGTTGTACTAGTTTACGAACAAGATTGGAAAGCACGAACCGTAAAATAACTTGAACGTCACACATGACGAAATTAAACAAAGTTTACATAACAGTCTCACGTCGTAATTATGCTAGCTGTTGTTCCAAAAATTTGCGAAAAATGAATAAAGATAGCGTTTTTATATTAACCATTAAACAATTTTCGTTGAGGATGATAAGATATTTCAAACGAAATAATTAGACTCCAAGTCTTTAGAATAACGAAGGTCTAGTGTTTAACCTTTGGAGAGACTTTTGCAACATCTGTTATTTGTATTGGTTTTTACCAAAATCAATGATAATCTTCCATTCAGTTCATGCATATAGGCAATATATTATGTCCTTGTCTTTCTGTGTTCAAAAGAGAATTGAAACACAAATAATCTATTCGTACATTTCCCATTGTTCTCCTGAATATTGGCGTCAATATTCACCACCGATTATCTAATAATTGAACTTTTCTCATGATTTTTATATTGAGATTGTTGTGAATCGGTTTACTGATAGATAAAAATGGCCGAGAAGAGCTTTACACTTCCTCAAGCTGACCGACACACGGAAATTAGGTTGAAGGATAGGGGGAACCATCGCAATAGGATTAAGTGCGAAAGAATAAAATGATGGTTTGGTTCATGTCAACTTTTGTTTTCAGTTTAGTGCATTCCTATTTGAGTACTGATCTTTGAACATACAAAGTTAGCATATAGATGACTGTTGCAAAAATTCGGCACTGTCTATAAAAATCGACCTTCAATTCCTAATTGAAGCGCCACCTTAACAGAAATCTGCCAAAGGCCTAGCTTTGCTCGATCACTATATAACAGAGATGTCCATCTCTGGTTTCTAAGATCCAGAATATTTTATTACGGGAAGATTGGAGGGACAGGGTGCGGATTCACTCCTGGTAGGTATTTCTTATGGATATTCTTTCTCACTTTCGTTTTTCTGTTGGGATACCACAAGTAACCGTTTGAGGTAGGCAACTTCATTCAAGATAATATTTCTGACATACTTCAACAATAAAACAATGGTTATCACTTGAAAAAGAAAATTTGAGAGACTTTGGTTAAGAAATTACTTAAGAAAACATTGTGCTAATGTTCGCTTTTCTGTCTTTCTTCTCCGCTTCCTGGTAATAAGGTTTATTTTTGTAGTGTATTATTGCTGTACATAAATATTAATAGATAATAATAATCAAAGTTCTAAAAAAGCTCTTCTGTTATGTGACTCTCATTCTCACATCTGTGACTATTGGGTCAACTTTGTGGTGACTTAAAAAATTTGAATAAAGTTATAGTTATTAGCAAAACAAATGATACATATGAAATTAACGCAAAAGCAGAGCAAACGTATCTGTATCTCAAGATGATCCATCAGCTCCCATTCTTCTAAAAAAATTTAGCTATGTACTCTAAAAATACAATTTTTTCCGTAGCCTTGCAGGGTTTCGTACAGACATTTTCGTACCCAACCCATTACGGAAGAGAGGAATGTGCAAATCGACTAAAAATTGTAGTATGAAAAAAATGCATTCTAAAAAAATATAGAACTTGACAATTTCTGGTTAAGTGTAGTATCGTCTGTTTGATGAAAAACTTATAATTTGTATACTCATGTAGAGTCATGCATTATACATCACATCCATACTTTACCTCTTCACTTAGCTATTCAGTTTGAATAGGAAAGATGACTTTGAACATTTTTCAACGATATTTAGAAGCAGTAGATGCCGGTGAGTAAATAGTATTTTTTAATAATAGAGCTTTTGGGAAATATGCTATTCTACCCTAGATCTATGCAAACTGGGATAAGTTCAAAAGGCCTCCTTATAGATGACTTCTTTATTGGACTTAAAAGCTAATTAGCTCCATAGAAAGTACTGATGATAAACGTTCCAAGTTTCTCTACTTCATACTAACAGTGCTGATGAAATTCAGTTTGCCTCAGCGACACCATCTGGTCTGTCTGATTGACATTCTGTGAAAAAGCTTTTTTAATATATACCTAAGCTTACATGTGTGAGTCCTACAAGAATTGTAAGTTTAATCCATTTGCACAGCAGAAATCTATTTCGGTGCATTTTCCGATCATCCAAGTTACAGCTATATGTATTTTCAATAATAGGATGAGATAAAACTGAATAGAGATCGTTTTTATATAAAATTTTGACTACAGCCTGATTTGACATGAGATTTACTCCTTGCTTTTTTACCGAGTTATTATTTATTGGAACTCAATTTAAACTTATAATTTCTCGTTTCGATCACGACTATTCATTGGGACAGTCTCGACGAAATTCTCAAGAGCGAGTTTATTTTTCTGCACGTTAGAAGTCTGTCAGTAAAAGTGTTTATAACTTCAATTATTCCTTAAAGAACATTAAAAAGAATATTTTATTATTAGATTCAAAATGAAAAAGGCTGTAATGGCAAGTTCTCAACTGAACAAAGAAAATAGAGTGATATCACAATTGAGGAACTCGTTAGAGTGCTTTTTGGCAATGGTACATTTCGTCGTGGTCACTTCGTCGCATATAAAGCAGAGAGTACATAAATTGAATTAAGTGATTTAGTTCTATATGGTACTAATTCATCACCTTAATAAATGAATTTCTTTAAAACAATAAGACTCTTTCTTAGCAATACAATTTTGCTCTCAATAAATGGTAGACGTATCGATTCACCGTTTATTTATCTTAGATTTTAAATTACCCAAAAATTAACTTTAAATAAAGCTATACATTTAAAAAGATACTTATTTTTGAATTATTTCTCGGTTTAATAATTTTTGCGTACTCAAAAAGTGAGTACACTAGATTCGGTCAGTGTGTCCATTCGTTAACACGATAACTCTTGAAAGCTTCATCCAATTGTTATGAAATTTTGTACACAGAATGATCTCATCAATATCTCAGTCGAGATCGAAGATGAGAAGGATCTGCCAAGAAATGACTGAGATATCGAAAAAACTGTCATTATTGACCAGACCATACCTGAGGACGGGGGGGAGGGTACAGGGATTTTCTCAGAATTATTCACAACATATATAAATCAACTCAGTCTTTGCAGTATACATAACGATCGGATGCAAATCCGATGTTTCCGCATTTATTTTAAAATAAAAATGTGCCATCTCTAAAAAAAAGATATTGAAAGAATACTGGAGTGTTATCAAATTTATTGACATCAGTTATTTTTAATGTTCGCAGTATCAAAAATCTAAAAATTCATTCCGAAAATATCCAAAACCGCTTCATCTGTTAGTCGAGTAACCTTGATACTCACAGAAATTTGTCCTAGAAAGTATTGAAGGATATGCAGCTCAAGATAGAGTACATTCTACCTTCATTTCTTCTTGGTTTTTCTTAGGTCACGATTTTGTCACAAGTCGCCTCCTTAAAGGACTTGAGCTGAGTTTCATTTAATAGTATACGATTTGTAATGTAACAGAAGAATTTTTTAAGTAACTTTTTACAAAACTAAATCGTTTTTTCTCCAAAACGCGTCTATTCTCCATAACGGAGTGTACATTTACGCGATTGATTAAATAACATACTGAACAAAAACATTCAATTCAATTAATATATCCTCTCCTTCACAATACGACTGGCTTATCGCTACGAATTTTTATTGCAACTGTAACGATAAATGTGGAGAGCGTCTAAATTCCACGTGGGAGTGTAACGCTCCTGTTCGAGTGTGGTCTGTGCATGGTATTTGGCCTTATAGTGCCATTTCTTCTCATCACATGTATTGCCTTTATCTTTATGTCCTTGATATTTGTCTTTATCTCTCATTCTCTTTCGTTCTCTTAAATGGTTGAGTATTTAAGCGTGTGCTTTATATTTAATCGATTCGATTTTATGATTTGAAGAGTGAAATAAAGTGTAATACCATCAGCACAGGTATCTCTTCTATCAGAAATCGTTACAGCAACGAATTATCTTAAAACAAAGTGTCATGCGACAAAGTGAGCGGTCACCGGCTTAATATGCAAGATTATCAAGATCATAATTTGTATGCTAATGTTCATGAATGATATCGAAGTGCATGTTAAACATTCAACATATTGTTATTTCGTTTTATTAATTTTTTTTATATATTTAACTATTTGGAAATAAATTAAAATAGTTGATGAGATAAATCCATCAAATTAAAACAGCAATTGCATAAAGAAAAGTGAAATTCACTAATGAACTGATATTTTTATTTTCTTGTAATATTTTCTACGTCAGATATCATCATTTCGTATTTCACTGAAAACAAAAAAAAACTGTTAGCACAGTGATTGAGAAACAATAATGTGAAACACCATGCGTTGGTTTTATTTATTTATTTATAAAGTAACTTTCTGATAGAAAAGGATCAGTTGAGGTTGTGACATAGACTGTGAGATGCCACATAGCTAAAACATTGGAGTCCCATCGGATTTTTAGAAAGTACAATTATTTCATAAGTTTGTGTAGCCGTAAGTTTTCATGCTCTTTCAGAAGGCATCTATTATTTATGTACATTCATCGCAGTGTCCTGATAAATCTCGAGGGGGACGTCCTCTGGAAATATTTTTTCGCCAGAATCCTGATAAGCGCTGCGATGTATGTGTATGTAAGAAAAAAGTGGCATTTAGTGAGCTAATTGTACATGTTTTTGTTCGTAAAAAGTCAATTGTGTACTCTGTGAAAATTTTAAAAAATATAAGTAAGTAGATGCATATTTTTTTAAGAATAAACTACATTTTTCTACATCAATATCTAGTTCAGCGTGGTACTTTCTTCTTTGAGAGGCATGTCATTTACCATGTGAATTGAAGAATAACAAAGAAAGCATACAGAGTTGAAACATTAAAAGAAACTAGACAAATGAAAAAATATGCATCTAATTGCCATGCTACGATTCTCATAAAATAAAGAATGATTCTTTTTAATGATCATTTGTGATAAATAACTATAGATCAACGCAGAAAGTCTTTTTCTCTGATCCCAAATTTCGGATAGAAGAATGAAGGCATGACTAGAATGAAAATGATTTATTTAATTTTGTTCGTTAAGTAATGTGCTATATTTTATAGTTTATAAATGTTTCAGTAAAAGCGTTTGCTTAAAAATGTCCTGTTTGAGTGAGTACTTGACCATTACATGCGGCCACTGTTTGAATCGAATATGTATCATTGCTGACTGTTTGATTCTGGCCGTACAATTGAAATTGTGCTTCTACAAAATATGGAAATCCACTGCCTGAAATCGTTTGCCCAGCAATAATTGACCAGATGTAGGTAATTTGCGAGCTTGAATGGGTTTGCGTTTGTATTACTGTATTCGACCAGAATGTATTGTATTCATTGGCAAAAGTAGCACCCATATTAGTTTTAACAACAATTTGCGCAGTAAAATTTGATAGAGTTTGAGTACAATTGATATTGACATGTTCAACACCATAGTTGCCTCCTGATGTCATTGTATACCAGGTCGAATAGGTACAAACATTTGTGGGGCAACCAGTTGTTGTTGAACCAGCCTAAAATAAGTTACGAATTCTATTGCCACATTTCAAAAACTATCTCTTAAAACACAAAGCTATATTAGATTCATTCGAAAATTTCTTGACAAAATGCTCTATAAATTACCTGATTGAGAATTTTGGTCTACTCTGGCTACTCTTAGTTTAGCTCCTTCTTGTTTTTAGCGATATTTCTCCCATGAATCAGAAACATATCGACGATTCAAGCAATATTCACATTATACATTCGAATGTGCTCTATCCTAATATTAGCTTAGAAGTTTTTAAGATCTATTAATTTTCATGAGAAAAAGAATAAAACAAAACAAAATAGTCTTTTAACCTGACCAAAATGATAAGAATAAATAAATGTCTATATAGCTTACTGTACAGAACGGACCATGGTGAAAAGACCGAGACTGGCGGATCACGCACATGTATTTGCTCTATCTTTTTGACTACTGCTTCTGTTGTTTGTGTAAATTCTGTTTCAAAGTAACTCATCATGTACCGACGAAGATGGGAGTGACAAAAGATGCCATTGTTCAATTTTGAAAAATTTTCATTTTTTCTGAGTGGGGACTCAGCACATTGTTTGTGTTATAGCAGATTGGTATCTTCTCTAACAACAGGTGATCACCTCTCAAATCTCCTATCATCTTATGACTTCTACATAGACTTACAGAAGCTGTAGAGCCGGTCGTGGTTGCAACAGTTGTAGAGCCGATCGTGGTTGCAACAGTTGTAGAGCCGATCGTGGTTGCAACAGTTGTAGAGCCGATTGTGGTTGCAACAGTTGTAGAACCAACAGAAGAACTGTTGCTTGGTATTGTTGATATCTACAAAACAAAAAACTTCGACAAAAAAATCATGAATATCTGTTCATGTACCGTTGTACTATTTGATCCGGTAGTTGATGTCACTACAAAAAACTAAAATTATTTGAGAAAGAAAATTTATCATTATAAAAGCATTGACCTCCTGTCGTTATGGTTGACGTCGCCGACTGCTGTAATTGAGTAAGGACAATAGCAGTTACTATTCCGCCGACAGCTGCAGCAATTGCGACACAGACAATGAGTGAAACTAATATCAGTAGTTTAGAGCAACGGCTAGATTAAAGAGAAAAGAAAGAATGGTTGAAGAGACAACTTTTTAAACAGTGCTTATACTGTGATTTTTTGATTTTTGATGGGACAGTAGGAAGTATCTTCGTATTGATTTTGATTGGAGTTACCTTCTTTTTGGCTTTGATAGAATTTGTCTTCTTCGCTCGCATTGCTGTAGAAGCACTGTGTGAACATACGCAGTAACAAATGTCTCTTGCTTTTATATTTTTATTCTTCACTGCGCTCTTATGGTCTCAATAAATGCACTTTTTAGTATTCTCTACAGAAAAAGATACTGGCCATTTTATTAGACATGTTTTTATTCTCTTCTCTTCTTTTATTTAAATTTATTTTAAATTTAAATCAATTTAATTTGATTTGATCTTATAGTTTATTAATATAAATTTAAAATTTGTAAATTGTGACGTTTCGTATCTCGATAAGATACTTCATCAGACATAAAAATTTAAGACAAATGACACATGTACATATAAACAATTTTTTCTTTTCTATTAGTATTAGTCATACTTTTGATAGTGATATAAAAAACAAGACGGTAATAGTAATAGCTAGCTAAGGATTGAATCCTTTTCCGTATCACTATCAAAAGTATGACTAATACTAATAGAAAAGAAAAATTTGTTTATATGTACACGTGTCATGTCTTAAATTTTTATGTCTGATGAAGTATTTTATCGAGATACGAAACGTCACAACTTACAAATTTTTTATTTATATTAATAAACTATAAGATCAAATCAAATTAAATTGATTTAAATTTAAAATAAATTTAAATAAAATAAAAGAAGAGAATTAAATCATGTCTAATATATCAACCTTCTTAACAGAACAAGGGTGTGGGTGTACGTTTAGCTATTATTCTCACCTACGCATATTCACACCTACACCCTTCATCATCCAGTAGAGGAAGGGTTATTTTAAGAAAATTAACCAAAAGTAACAAATTGACTATCAAATTTTCAAAATTTTGAAATCGATTTTCTCTCAAAGAAACAATTTTTTCAGAAAAGAATGAAATTTCACAAGATTTAACCGAAAATAATAAGAATTACGGAACCATCATCTACTATCGATTTCTCAGAATCGTTGGACATCTGTGTGTGGTATCTCGGCATGTGGAGAGACAAATCAGGGTGGTGATCATGAATATGAAGCCAGCTGGAGTAGTCTGTGCCAATAATGACGGCACGCTTCAATGATTCTCCTTCTTTCCTTTTCTGTTTGCTTTCCATTGTTCTAATATCTCTCTCCTATATATGCGTGTGATATGTATGAAGTTGTTACACTCTGGATATGTGAAGGAGCGAATAAACATCATTGTCGAGAGTGGCGGTAAACTATTCCACTCTATCCAGTTTGTCATTATGTATAGACCCCAACAAGGCCCTATTCATCTTTACATAGTCCTTATTAGGTATGGCGTGTATCGAAAAACATTTCCGAAAACGTTTATGAAATAATTAGTATTGGTGAATAGTAGTCATGTTTTCTGTAAATGCTGTTGAACAACAAACGCTTTTCATCTCTGAACATTCATCAATGAGGAACGTGTAAGATTTTATTGAATGGAATACGAGTAGTTTCAGAGTAGGGTTTGACTGTAATTGTACTTAAGATTCAACGGCGCATCCCTACTAATCCACAACCACGCTATACCCAAAAGCTTAAATTAAATATTTTTATGATAAACTAGCAGCCTCAGAACATTCGATGTTGTTGAAAAATGAAAATGTAAAGAAAAAGCATTTTCAGCCATCTTCTAAAAACAAAGTACTTCGTCTTCATTAGAAAAAGCTTCTTTTCTTTATTTTATCTCACTTGTCAAGTAATAAAAGTTTTTATTACATTTATTGTTATTGCATGCAAATATACCTTTTATTTTCACTCATTGCTCAGTAGAAAGATCAATAACGATAAGCCTGAGAGTCTCATTTGAACCTTCGATTCTGAGATTCCAATGAAATTAATTTCTTTTAAAAAGAAGTATATAGAATTTATTCGTTTGTCTATATTAGAGAGGATGTATTTACAAGAAACGAATAAAACTAAAGTATTCAGCGCACAGATTTCTATACATTGTAGGAATAATAGAAGAGAAGCTACACATTTGTCTCAATAGGAAAATAGCTGCAATAAAGGGCCTGCAATCCACATTCACACTGGTGAAGAACGCTATTGGTATTACTAGAGTATTCGGATTGCTGGATGCCTAAATGTAAAACATTCATAGAGATTTTTCCAGATGGTTATCATGAAATTGTAGAAAACTTCCTTAGATAGCTATTCAAAGCGCTATGAAAAAGCTCGTATGAAAATTTCGCTAGCTGTTGAACTGAATCTGCCAAATATTAAATCAAAATTAAATTAAATTCTTTTCACATCAACTATCTAATCATGCACTTATTTTAAGCGAATGAAATGTTACAGCGATAAGCTTAAGAGTTAATACTAGAAATTTAAAACAAAGGTTCAACTGCTAGTCTCAAGTAGATACATCTGGTTTCATTCTTTTCAAAATCTTTAGCTATACACTCTAAAAGATAAATTCTTTTCTGGAACCTTGTAGAAAAGCGCAAGCTGTGTAAATACGACTAAAAATTGCAGTACGAAAATAGTTCATTCTCGGAAAATCCGGATTTCGACAATTTCTGGCCAGGTGTAGTATCATCTTCTGCGTGAAAACCTTTAATTTGTATCCTCATGTAGAGTCATGTATTATATCCCACAACCACACCCTTTAAAGTTTGAAAAATATTAAAATATCTTTAATCAAGATCCATACTGAGATAGAACTGTGAATTTCATGTGACAATTCAAGTGTTCAGGCACGGTGTTTTATTTTTTATTGTGATCTTGTCTGATATTATCATATACTTTGAAGTTTTGAACCATTTTCAAACAGTTTTGTGTGTAATTCCCTGTTAATAGATCAGAGCATAGAAGTAAAGAAACTTTTCTATCCTTCTTTTCCTTGTACGTTTAAAAGTGAGTCATTATAGGTTTTTCCTTTTGAAGCAGCGCTTATCGACCAGTAGGAGTTTGAGAGTGTTGTGTGAGATTCTATCGCAAGGTAGTGATTCGTAGAAAGAAAATTTAAGAATAAAATCCGTACCACTGTAAATACTATTCTAAAATCAACAATAAAACGATTATCTGAATTTTTAAAAGGTATTACTTGTTACCGAATCAGTCATAAAATATGAAATCAACCTGTCTAGTTTATGAAGATAAACAATGACTTTTTGTAAATGGCATTACATGAAAGGGTAAGATTTCTTCATCTCATTGAAAAAGATTATTCACATTGTCGATTCAATGGCGACCGAGGCCATTAATATTAATGGCAACGTGATAAACGTGAAAAAGACATCATGGTGGCTAAAATATCGCCTCGAAATACTAATTGTATTAGTATTTATTTTAGTTCTCATCACATTTCTTATATCGTTCATCACCAGGAGAGATACAGTAGCTAGTAAGTAAAATACAAAATGTTGAAAACGAAAATTCATTCTAGCCATTTTAGTTCCTCTAACTTTGACAACTTCGTTACCAATCATTCACTGTCCAATTTCATGTTCGATTCATACACATCTTCCTCCGGTAGATCTTGTAGCAGTTAGTATTTCTTCTCTTGCTCGAGATTTATCAAACTGTCGCTATTCATCAACGGATCTTGTTCGGTGGTATTTGATGCGTATTGATGCAGTTAATCGACGTGGCTCTCATCCACTTTATGCTGTT